ACCAGGTGGCCATGAATCCCAACAACACGGTGTTTGATGCCAAGAGGCTGATCGGCAGGAGGTTTGATGACCCTGTAGTGCAGTCTGACATGAAGCACTGGTCCTTCAAAGTCGTCAGTGATGGAGGAAAGCCAAAAGTTGCAGTGGAACACAAAGGAGAAAACAAGACCTTTAATCCTGAAGAGATTTCCTCCATGGTCCTGGTGAAGATGAAGGAGATTGCAGAAGCTTATCTGGGGCAGAAGGTGACCAACGCAGTTATCACAGTTCCAGCCTATTTCAACGACTCCCAGAGACAGGCCACTAAAGATGCTGGAGTCATCGCTGGACTGAATGTGCTCCGCATCATCAACGAGCCCACGGCTGCAGCCATCGCCTACGGCCTGGACAAAGGCAAATCCTCAGAGCGCAACGTGCTGATCTTTGACCTGGGCGGAGGCACCTTCGACGTGTCCATCCTGACCATTGAAGACGGCATCTTTGAGGTGAAGGCCACCGCTGGAGACACTCATCTGGGCGGTGAGGACTTTGACAACCGCATGGTGAACCACTTTGTGGAAGAGTTCAAGAGGAAGCACAAGAAGGACATCAGTCAGAACAAGAGGGCCCTAAGGAGGCTGCGAACCGCATGTGAACGAGCCAAGAGGACGCTCTCGTCCAGCTCTCAGGCCAGCATTGAGATCGACTCTCTGTACGAGGGCATCGACTTCTACACGTCCATCACCAGAGCTCGCTTCGAGGAGCTCTGCTCCGACCTCTTCAGGGGAACACTAGATCCTGTGGAGAAAGCACTGAGGGACGCCAAGATGGACAAGGCTCAGATCCACGACATCGTGCTGGTTGGGGGATCAACAAGAATCCCAAAGATCCAGAAGCTTCTGCAGGATTTCTTCAACGGCAGAGAACTGAACAAGAGCATTAACCCTGATGAAGCGGTGGCTTACGGTGCCGCGGTGCAGGCCGCTATCCTCATGGGCGACACCTCTGGAAACGTGCAGGACCTGCTGCTGCTGGACGTGGCCCCGCTGTCTCTGGGTATTGAGACCGCAGGTGGAGTCATGACGGCCCTCATCAAGCGCAACACAACCATCCCCACCAAACAGACCCAGACCTTCACCACCTACTCCGACAACCAGCCCGGCGTCCTGATCCAGGTGTTCGAGGGAGAAAGAGCCATGACCAAAGACAACAACCTGCTGGGCAAATTTGAGCTGACGGGAATTCCACCTGCGCCACGTGGCGTCCCGCAGATCGAAGTGACCTTCGACATCGACGCCAACGGGATCCTAAATGTATCGGCGGCGGACAAAAGCACCGGAAAACAGAACAAGATCACCATCACCAACGACAAGGGCAGGCTGAGCAAAGAGGAGATCGAGAGAATGGTGCAGGAGGCTGACAAGTACAAAGCTGAAGACGATCTGCAGAGAGAGAAGATTTCTGCCAAAAACTCCCTGGAGTCTTACGCCTTCAACATGAAGAACAGTGTGGAAGACGACAACCTGAAAGGCAAGATCAGCGAGGAGGACAAGAAGAGGGTTGTTGAGAAGTGCAATGAAGCCGTGAGCTGGCTGGAGAACAACCAGCTGGCGGATAAAGAGGAGTACGAACATCAGCTGAAGGAGCTGGAGAAAGTCTGCAATCCAGTCATCTCCAAACTCTACCAGGGAGGGATGCCAGCTGGAGGATGTGGAGCTCAGGCACGTGCCGCATCAGGGGCCAGCGCTCAGGGGCCCACCATTGAAGAGGTGGACTAAAGTTATGAACTCGCATGAACGTCGTCTGTCAGTCAGAATCCACGTAATGTTTTGACCAAACATATTTTTATACAACACTGCTGCTCTTATATTTCTGTTGCTATTTAGCAACCATTCACCACTGTAATTTATTTAAAGTGTACATTGTGATGTAAATAAAAGTGTAAATATTTTCATGAATTCAAAAAACTTTTATGTAAAAAAAATATATATATGAAAATGATTAATAAAGTGTTTGTACATGAGAACAGCAATGGAATGTGTTTTCATTCAGTAAGTGTGGTCATATGGTCTCTTTCTGCAGTCATGACATGTGTGCACTGAAATGACTCTTTAAAAGGAATTTGCTCATGGTTACATGATTTTACTGATCAACAAATGGCAAAACATTATAGACTAGATTGCCTTTTCACATGAAAATACCAGCAAAATGATAAAATGGTAATTTAAGGGTTTAGAAATTAGGCCATAATGATAAAAAGTGTGTCCCACTTCATAATAGGTGGCCTTAACTAATAGTAAAAGTATCAATACTGCACTAAAAATGTTCTCAGGGGAAAGTAAAAGTACACATTTTAAACTACTCAGTAAACTACAATTCCTGAGAAAAACTACTCAATTACAGTAATTTGAGTGTTTGTAATTAGTTACTTTACACCACTGGTTTCCATTCACTTATTTTTATGTGCATTTTGGAATATTACATAAAAAATGTTTAACGAAAGTGCCTAAGTTATGAAATTGTGCATAAGAGCACAACTGAGTAGCATAAACGTTTAATAAGATGAGAAAAAATGTGCATAAACTACAATGGAAGCACATACATTCCTACAACCACATACTCACTCATTCACACACGCATACACTTTTGCCGATTTAGATTACCCAATTCACCTATAGCGCATGTGTTTGGACTGTTGGGGAAACCGGAGCACCCGGAGGAAACCCACACCAACACGGGGAGAACATGCAAACTCCACAATGAAATGCCAACTGACCCAGCTGGCGCTCGAACCAGCGACCTTCTTGCTGTGAGGCGACAGTGCTAACCACTGCACCGCTGTGTTGCCAATATTGTAATTTTACATCACATAATAGCCGTTGTTCAAATTAGCAAAGTTTTTTGTTTGTTCTGTTTATAAATCAGGTTTAATCTATCAATTACTGAAAATAAAACACTGTTATCATGTTCAAAAATTATTATAAACTTATCTAACTCGGGGCGGTGTGGTGGCACAGTGGTTAGCACTGTCACCTCACTAGAAGATTGCAGGTTCGAGCCTCGGCTGGGTCAGTTGGCATTTCTGTGTGGAGTTTGCATGCTCTCTCCGTGTTCATGTGGGATTCATCCAGGTGCTCCGGTTTCCCCCACAAGCCCAAAGACATGCGCTATAGGTGAATTGGGTAAGCTAAATTGTCTAAAGCTAAATAGTGTGTGTGCGTGAATGGGAGTGTATGGGTGTTTCCCAGTGATAGGTTGCAGCTGGAAGGGCATCCGCTGCATAGCATATATGCTGGATAAGTCGGCGGTTCATTCCGCTGTGACCCCAGATTAATAAAGGGACTAAGCCGAAAAGAAAATGAAGGCATGAATGTCACCAAATAGCGTATTTAAACCTCACGATAACATACAAAATAAGTGGAATAATTGTGAAAAAATGTCAATTTTTGGAGAAAAAAAAGAACAACCACTTTCACCAGTCTGCCTACCGGCCTAAATATATCCGCAATTTTAATGGAGCTTTGCTTCTGTAGAACAACTAAAGAGGATCTTTAGCTGGAGATTGATTAATTGCAAGTCAATACAGTAGCAGCATCTGAGAGTCAAAAGAAAAACAGATTTAATAGTAAATTGGTAAAAGTAAAACAAAAATAATACCTGTCTCTCCTGATTATTTTGGCCAGCGGAGAAATTAAAATGGTCGTGCCCAACTGAGTCTGGTTCTCTCAAGTTTTTTTTTCTTCACTCCTATCAGGTGAAGTTTTTTTCCCTCTCCGCTGTCGCCACTGGCTGGCATGGTTCAGGATTGGTAGAGCTGCGCATCGATGAATTTGCTCTTCAGTGTTTGAACTCTCAGTAATGATTTTAAATCACACTGAACTGAGCTAAACTGAACTGAACTGAACTTAAACACTAAAAACTGAACTACACTGTTCCAGTTACTATGACCATTTATGTGAAGCTGCTTTGACACAATCGACATTGTTAAATGGCTATACAAATAAAGCTGAATTGAATTGAATTGAATTATTTATGGAGGTTTTCAGAAGTATAATGACTCCACAAGACTTGTTTACAGCATATTTACAGCATAAATAATACACATTTAAAATCCTCATAAAACTAATACAGACATTATATATATATATATATATATATATATATATAAAGAGCCTTCGACTTATTAATTCTTTCTATGTGTCTAGTGAATTTATTTAGGAAAGAGTTTAAATTGTTAATATTTTATTTTCTTTACAGTTCTAAAAAACTTTTTTTTCCAAACGTAAAATAAAAATATTGTCATTTCATTCATTTTCCTTCGAGTTAGTCCTATATTTATCTGGGATCACCATAACAGAATGAACCGCCAACTTATCCAGGATGTTTTACAAAGTGGATGTCCTTCCAGCTGCAACCCAGTACTGGGAAACACCCATTCGCTCTAACATGCAATTTGGCCAATTTAGTTTATTCAATTCCCCTACACTGCATGTCTTTGGACTGTGAGGGAAACCGGAGCACCTGGAGGAAACCCACGCCAACACGGAGAGAACATGCAAACTACACACAGAAATGCCAACTGACCCAGCCGGCACTTGAACCAGCGACCTTCTTGCTGTGAGGCGACAGTGCTAACCACTGCGCCTACGTGTTGACAATATTGTAATTTATTTTCACATGATAGTTTTTGTTTGCTCTGTTTGTAAATCAGAATTAATGCCTCAATTACTGAAAATAAAACATTGGTATCGTCTTTAAAAATGTATATAAACATATCTAACATGACACTTTTTGGTAAACGATCTTTAAAAGAAAACATTTTCTTTTCATCAGTCATCATGTCTTGAGTAGCTTACAGAATAACAACAACATCACAGCTATAAATCATTAATCCAGAAAAACAAAACACTTTCATTTCTTCATATTTACGTCATGCGTGTGCTCGAGAACTGGCGTCAGCCGAACGCACGCGTCTGATTGGTTCAAACGGCAACACACAGGAAACGGAAGTCTGAGGCAGCAGAAGCTCTTCGTCTGCTGGAGGAAGCGGACGAACTATTGTTTACGTTTTCTCACTGGAAATCAACAATAAAACACGCGAAAATGTCTAATAAATAGCGGCGATCGGCGGGATCTTTCATAACTGAACACATAATACATTTGTTTCAGTGAGTTATTTTGTATTTCAGTGGCTTTTGAGAGGGGTTTAAGGGATTTTGTGTGTGTTTTGAAGGTGTGAGGCCAGCTCATGTCATAAATGATCGAATCTGATTAAAATCGGACAGAGGAGCTTCGGTCACAACAAACAGGTAACGTTAACAGTTAATTTTCTGATTAAGTAAGAGCCATATTTGTTCATGAATACAGTTATGCTGTTAATCCTTTGTTATATAACAGGAAGATCTAAAATAAGTCAAAGAATATTCTTTGTATCTTAGTATTCTGTGTTTATTATAACAGAACAGTCAACAACTTATCACGAGTTATTGTTTTTCAAAAGATTCAAATCTCCTGATAATATGGTTTCTTTTTGGTTTATATTTAATTGTAACAAAGATAATGGTCTATTATTCTATTATTAATTGTACAATTGTTTTATCTTGTTGCTTGTTTTTGTTCTTTTTTTGGACATTGAGTTATTAGAAACTAATACATTTATAGTGACTAACAACCTTAACTTTGTCTTGAAACAATGATTATTATAAAAAGTGCTATACAAATTAACTTGAATGGAATTTAATGAAACTATTTGCCTTAGTAATGTTGGTGAACTAAAATAGTGGATAAATTCAATAATAATACAGGGTTCAAAGATAAGAACATTTTCTATTGGCCCGACTGGACCAGCGGTTCAGATTTTTACTTGCCCTGCCAAAATTTTCACTGGCCCCACCAAAATAAATAAATAAAAAATAGCTATTTCTTAGCCACATATTTTAAATAATGTCTCAATTTAAAATGTCTTAAAATATTTAAAATATTTAGCAGTAAAATACAGCAGTATGGAAAGAGTGCAGGTATTTTATTGCAAAACAAAAGGTGGCTGACTTAAAAGTGACGAAAAACTATGCAAAACATCACTTTTTTTCTTCGTTGTGTTGTACCCATGTAAATATCTTTTTCCACAATGTTAGAAGCAAACGGTGAACTTAAAAATGGTGAACTTAATGGTGAACTTAAACCAACTGAGTTCTGCAAAACCCAATAACTTAAGGCAACTCAAACCGTTTGAGGAAACTTATTGCAACGAGCCATTTAAGTACTCCATTAAAGTAATGAGGTATTTAATTAACTCATTGCCTAAAACATAATTTGGTAAATATTTAAAAAAGAAAAATTATTGAAAGGGGGGCTAATAATTCTGACTTCAACTATATATATATATATATATATATATATATATATATATATATATATATATATATATATATATAAATATATATATATGCCTCATAACTTGATGTTGCCGTCTCTTCACTGTACTTGTTTTTACCAGGTTGTGGAAAAAAATAAAGTGCTCACAACAACCAATCAGATAAAAGAAACCAAAAAGCAATATGGTGTTTACGACTTCACAGAAGGTAGGATTCAAAGACTTAAAAGCACAAATTGTTTCTGGATTCTAAGACTGTATTTGCACACAATTGACAAATAAACAAATAGTCGCAGGCAAATTAAAATTTTGTGACAAGGCAGCACTGGATTGATCGGGCCAGTAACGATTCTCTCTACTGTCCCGAACATCTATCAGGGCAGTCCTTATTGTTGGACCCTGTAATAATAATCAAGCGTTTTATCTTGAATTATTGTTGCTTGTGTTTGTTCTTTTTTATTAGACATTGAGTCTTGAAATACACACAGTGATAAATGAAGTGATTTAAATTATTGTTATTATTGTTTTATTAACGTTTATTAGAACCGTGTTCAAAGATGAATAATAAGTGATATTACACGTAATATATTAAAGTCTTAAGCCTGTCTTAAAGGGAGTGTTCACCCCCCCAATAAATAGTAAATTAAAAAAAAAAATCACTTTTTACTGACCTTCAAGTGGTTTCAAACCTTTACGAGTTTCTTTCTTGGTGTTAAACACAAAGTTATATGTTTTAAAGAAAGCTGAAAACCTGTAACCATTGATTTTCATAGTGTGACAAACAAATACTATTTAAGTCAATTTTCCAACACAGGTTTCCAACATACTTCAAAATATCTTCTTTCCTGTTCAATAGACAAATGAAACTCAAAGGTTTGAGACAAGTAAAGGGTGAGAAGATGATGACAGAAATTATGTAGACGTATATTAACGATTTTGCGTAAATCAGCATGCTGAAAATAACTTATTTCCTTTTCTTTGCATTGCCAATTAACATGCATCTTGACTGTTGCATAAAAAAATATTAGTTTAAATAACAAAATGAGATTTAATTAACCAAAAAGGGAAATAAATTTCTTTTAAATAAAGTGAAAATGAAAGAACTAAAAACTTCCAACTCAAATGTTCTTGAATAAAAGGTGTTGCAGTAATGTACAAATATGTAATGTCTGAAAAAGCGATTTAAGAGGTGTTTTGACAGTTCAGAGCCACCGTGCAAGTGAAAAGCTAAATACAGATAGTATTACATTAGTAAATGTGGCATAAATTTGTCTGCCTAATTTTAATATCGGACTAATAATGATACCATTAAAAATAGCATTTATCAGCCAAAAACGATAAGGCCGCCGATATATCGTGCATCCCTACACACTTTCACATTAGTAAATTAAAATCATTACTTAATAGGCTTAATTTTTTAAACCCAACATTATGTCTGACAAATCATTTTCATAATACAAATATTCTCTTAGTAATAATCACAGTTAATTACTTAATTGATTTAATATGTATTTTTTTTTCAGCTGAGATCAAACCCTACTTTTTCTCCACTTTATTTGAGTTTTAGTAATTTGATAAAGAGTTTTGAGTGGGTCTGAGAGCATGTACGCACCACCTGGAAATGCTGTTCCTGCTAACCGGAGGAGGAGAGGTGGCACAGCTCTGCCCAAACAGCCGGAGAGGAGTCTGGCGTCTGCTTTGCCCGGGGCCCTCTCCATTACGGCCCTCTGTACAGCCCTGGCAGAACCAGCCTGGCTCCGCGTCCACGGAGGAACGTGCCCTAGACAGGAGCTCGGTGTTGCAGACGTCCTGGGATATATAGATGACAAACTCATAGATGGTTGGTATCCCAAACTGAGACACTACCATTTTAAATAGTGTCATTTTTTTCCCTCAAGGCTGAATTTATTTAATGAACATATAGTGAAAGTGTGAAATATGATTATTGCATTATTAAAATTATTAGTTGGTAACACTTGAGTTTGTCTGTTCACAGTAATAATAACAACTATTGGCTTATTACCTGCCTTTATTAATATATTAACGGTGTTTTAGCACTTATAAAGTATACGCTTATTCTAAATCCCTAATCCTAGCCAATAGTGACACTGTGAAATATAGACAAGATTTATTTGTTTTCATTTTTTGTTGTTTGTTTTTAAAAAAAAAAAAAAATATATATATATATATATATATATATAAAAGTCCTGTTAAAAAAAAAAAATAAATATATATATATATATATATATATATATATGTATATATATTTTTTAAATAAATAAATAAATAAATATAAATATAAATATATATATATATATATATATATATATATATATATATATATATATATATATATATATATATATTTATTTATTTATTTAAAAAATATATATATATATATATAAACAGGACTTTGTTTATAAATGGATTGTTAAATAGTATTCAATAATAATCAATACTGAATAATATGAAACATTTTGTGGCTGTTTTTTGCTGTATTAATCAGTCCCAACTCACACTAATAATTACAGCTTATTACCTGTTTGTATGTTATTAAGATATTAACTATGTTTTATTAACTATGTTTATTCTACATCTCTAATCCTACACAATACCTAAACCCAACTATACCTTAATACCTTAGTATTAAAAAGTCACTAATTAATAGTTTATTGAGCTAACCTTAGTTAATAGTTTGCTAATAGTGTTGATTGTATATTAAAATAAAGTGTTACCCACCTGTTTTCTGATATTTATAATATAAATAAATATATGTATGATATAAATAAATAAGAAGAAATAAATGATATAATTAATTTTTGATGCAAAGCTGAACTGTCATCATCGCTACTGCAGTCTTCAGAAATCCCTCTATAGGGCAATTTACACTGCAATGCATTTTTTTCATGATTCTCTGATAAATTGAAGCCAGTATATATTTGAAATTGATAATTTCTTTGTCACTTTGGATGAGCAATAACTCTTTGCTTAATAAAATAAAAAACACCTAAAAAAAAAGATAAAAAATATTTTACTTACCTCATTCTTTTGAATCATAGTTTATCTTATTCACTTCATTCTGTAATGCGGAACTGTGCTCGTTTTTGTGCTTATTTTAAATGTTCCGGTTCATTCTCTATGGGAGGCGAGGCAGTGGCACAGTAGGTAGTGCTGTCGCCTCACAGCAAGAAGGTCGCTGGGTCGCTGGTTCATACCTCGGCTCAGTTGGCGTTTCTGTGTGGAGTTTGCATGTTCTCCCTGCCTTCGAGTGCTCCGGTTTCCACCACAGTCCAAAGACATGCGGTGCAGGTAAATTGGGTAGGCTAAATTGTCCGTAGTGTATGAGTGTGTGTGTGAATGTGTGTGTATGTGTTGCCCAGAGATGGGTTGTGGCTGGAAGGGCATCCGCTGCATAAAAAACTTGCTAGATAAGTTGGCGGTTCGTTCCGCTGTGACGACCCCGGATTATTAAAGGGACTAAGCCGACAAGAATATTAATGAATGAATTCTCCATGGGAGAAATGACTAGGAATAATAAACAGCAGAAAACTGTCAAACTACTCGCTGTACAAACAAGTGTATTCATGAAAATAAATGAAAAGTAGAAGAAAATAACAAGAATATATGTTTGCAAAATCAAGCAGCAGAACGAGCTGTATTTAACGTCTAAAAATCAGTGGAAGTGAATAAAACCGGAAGTCTTGAGCCTAAAAGTTTAGGCTCGCTTGTAATTTCAATATTTGTTCATATTAATAAATACACTAACATTAACTAATTGAACCTTATTGTAAAGTGTTACTATTTATACTTTGATATTGTTGAACTGTACTTAAAACTGAAATGGAGATCTATTACTTTTGCTGTCAATATGACAATGTTTTGTTAATCCTCTCCCACAGAATTCTGCATTAACTCTCAGTCCATCCTGCTCCTGCGGGTCATTGCTGCTTTCTGTTTCTTGGGCATTCTGTGCAGCCTGACGGCATTTCTGTTGGACGTCTTTGGACCCAAACACCCAGCCCTCAAGATCACACGCAGATACGCTTTCGCTCACATTCTCACAGGTACAAATTCACCATCACTGATTTATTTCTTAATATAAACTTCTTTATACTTAAAGGGATGGTCCACCCAAAAATGATTGTTCAGTTTTACTCCACATCCTCGTGTAGTTTAAACTCATTAGACTCTGTTTTAAACACAAATTATGACAAGTTTAATGACGCCAAAGAGGTTTCTGATCCTCCGTTCAAGTCACCAAAACATTGATCTAAAAATTCATAAAAGGCATGAATTTGTTTAGATCAGTGGTTCCCAAAGTGGGGGTCGGGACCCCTTGGGGATTGCTTGGTGATTTCCAAAAGTCAAATAAATTTTATTAAAGTATTTAATTTACCATATTTTATCCATAACCCACAGAAGATAAAAATAGTAGGTAATAGTTACATAAAAAGGCAACAACATGCAAATTAGAAGCCATCAGCTTTTTTATTTATTTTCATAGGATTGTGCGTTTACGTTAGATTAACAACACAGCAATAGCGTCAGCAGCAGCAGATATATTTTATAGCACCAGGTTAAACTTTGACACCTTTATGGCAATCAGATACATTAAAAATAAATACAGGCTACAACTGAACATTGAGGATGATCTCTGAGTGGCGTTCCCCAAATTTAAACCAAGAATAGACTTGTGCTAAAAACATTGTGCCCAACAGTCTCATGAGGTGAGGTTAAGATTAAATTAAACAATTTAATAAATGACTATATGAATTATAGCCTATGGTTGTTAGATTTTTTTTTTGTGTTATCAATATGCTCATGTTTATATAGGCCTATAAAGTTGTGTGTGCAACATATGTATATTTATAACAACCTCCGAGGTTTGGGGGTTGCGGGCTGCGAGCCTGGCTCAGATGATGCTAACTAGTGCTGGGCAAAGATTAATCGCATCCAATATAAAAGTTTTGTTTTGACATAATGTATGTGTGTGTATTATGTATATTTATTAGAGGTGTGAACCTATACTGCTCTCACGGTTCGGTTACGATTATCATGCCTTCGATTCTGTTCAATTCGATATCTCGGTGCATCACGGTGCATTGACGATGCTTTCCATATACAGTGTTATATTTTAGGGGGGAGGCTATAACAAGCTGTCTGTATAAACACAGAGACACACAGCACCGCACTGTCTGTCATTCAAACACATACACAAACATAGATAGCACCAAACAAACAAACACACACACACACACACACACACACACACACACACACACACACACACACACACACACACACACACACACAAGCCCTCGCAACAGGGAGAGCTCGAGCTGAGCGGAGCAGAAAACCGAAAAAAAAATAAGCACTTTTCTGACGGTCCCTTAATGAGAGCTCCTCTCCCGGCTAAACACATATTGCGAGGGCTTAAACGGAGCAGTGCTCGTAATGTCGAGCGAAAAAAAAAAAAGAAAGACAGCTGTGAAACATAACCAGCGTTGTCTTTTTGTAGGAAACACACTTTAGATCTTTTTAGGGTAAGCGGTTTTTGAGTTATAGCCGTCTATAACTGAATGTGTGTCAAGAATATCCAAAACAAAACCAACTGAACCGCGCTCATTTCTGCCGCCCCCCTGAATGTACAGCGCCCTAAGCATTTGCCTATGGTGCCTATGCCACGGGCCGGCCCTGAGTTGGCTGAGTGTTGTAAATACTCGCGCTCACCTCCCTCGCGATAGAGCGCATAGGAGATAAATGACGTCAGTACATAATACCCGGTTATGATTATTACTGAACCGATACCTAATTGTCCGCGTCTGCATCGCGGTGCACCGAAGAAACAATTAATTTTGACACCCCTAATATATATATATTATTTTTTTTTAGCATTCTTCTTCAGTATATCTACCTTTGTGTTGAAAGAAACTCAAAATAAAAGAAACTCAAACAGGTTTTAAACAAGTCTATGATGAATTAATGATGACAGAACTTTTATATTTGGGTGAACTATGCCTTTAAAGGTGACCTGTTATGCCCCTTTTTACAAGATGTAAAATAACTCTCTGATATCGCTAGAATGTGTGTATGTGATGCTTCAGCTCAAAATACCATACAAATGCTTTATAACTCTTTGAAACTGCTCCTTTTAGGCTTTGATCCTAATTGGGCAATTTTGGTGACTGTCGCTTTAAATTCAAATGAGATTGTGCTCTTTTTTAAAAAAAAAGAGGGCGGAGCTAGAAATGCCTGCATGTCAGCATAGTAGCAAATTCACAAACAAGACTAACGTCATGGTAATGAGGGAGAGATGGTCAACAATGGGCGGGGCTTTCCCCCTCTGATGACACGTACAAAGGAAGAATGTCAATCAAAGTGTGTCTGCAGACTGTTTTTATCACGTGTGATTATAAACAATAGAAATAATAAAGTTTTACCATTAAAAACAGGTTACAGGGTTCTTACGGGTGCTGGAAATCCTGGAAAATGCTTGATTTTTAATATAGTGTTTTCAAGGTTAGAAAAGTGCTTGGATTTTGGACAAAGTGCTTGAACCTGCTTGAATTTAATTTTGCTAAGCTCGAAATTGACTGTTTTGGTTGCATATGCGCACAATTTTATCTGTGACCTCTAAATATGTTTGGGAGCATATGTGCGAGGGCTTAAATTGTTGTTGTGCGACCAGTTTTCATTGCTAAATGTTCACCGCATGCATGTATTTATGGAGCTAATAATATGCCAAAACAGTCTGAATTTGAATTGTGTTAAATTTAATTATTAATAATTGTAAGCTAATAAAACTGATCATATGCTATTAAAAATGTTCAACTGAATTTGAATTTCTTAACTCGATTATAGAACGTCTAAATTTTAAGACAATTTTTTTAAGTCAGATTTTTATAGACATATTTTCAAACTTTAGATTTTTTGGTTCTGAATTTAAAGACTGCAGATTTTGGGTATGTAAAAAAAATACAGTTTTAAGTTTTTTAAAAATTCAAACTATTCAAATTCAGATAGTTTTGGCATTTTTAGCTTAATACTTATTTAGGAAACATTTACCCAGAATGCAACTTTGCATCTGAAACGCCAATTCAATGACTGTAAAAAATAAAATAGCAATGCACTTGAAATATTATGAACGACTGGTCATGAAAGTTTGGTTCTACACCCAAACAAAATCTGACTGTGAGCTAATTTCCTGAGATATCAACTTTAAGTAGAAAGAGACCAAACTTAAAAACATACTTCATCCAATAACTGAACTTTTTTAAATTAATTTTTTCATTATTTTTGGGTGAACTGTCCCAATAAATCTAAGCTCCAAAATATTCAACAATTTACGTGTAAATGTCATATTGTGTTTTTTAAAATAGCACAATGAATTTAAATGTGAATAAGTACATACAGAATATATTAACATGATTAACTGTGATAGTTAGGTGCTGGAAAAGCATACAAATGCACCTTGAAAGTGCTTGGAAAGTGCTGGAATTTGAAGTTGGAAAAAGTGTAAGAACCCTGGGTTATATTCACATACTGTTGCCACACAACTGCATTTAAACCCCTTATAAAAGTAATTTTTGCATAATAGTCCCCCTTTAATGTCTTGATGTTCCTCTGTTTTGCAGTGCTTCAGTGTGCTACAGTGATCGGCTTCTGCTACTGGGCTTCAGAACTGATTCTGTCCCTCCAGCAGCAGCACAAGAAGTACCACGGCTCGCTCATCTACGTCACTTTCGCCATCAGCTTCTACCTGGTGGCTGGTGCAGGTGGAGCCTCGATTTTAGCCACAGCAGCAAACTTGCTCCGCCATTACCCCACAGAGGAGGAGGAGCAGGCGCTGGAGCTGCTCTCAGAGATGGAGGAGAGCAGCGAAACATACCCTGCCGACTACGACATTGCCAATCAATTCCAGCCTCCTCCGGCTTACACACCCTGAGCGCCAAATGTGTCGCCTGTGTTTTTTCCGCCCAACGCCACTCCTGTCTTCTGGTGCCACCTTCGGCCTTCAGACAAAGAAATGACGTTCTGATTTTAGGTGCCCCATTAAAAACGAATATACAGTTGAAGTTGAAATTCTTAGCCCTCCTGTGACTTTATTTTTTTTTCCAACTAATGTTTAACGGAGCAAGAATTTTTTGACAGCATTTCCTATAATATTTTTTATGGAGAAAGTCAGATTTGTTTAAATTTGGTTCAAATAAAAGCAGTTTTAATTTTTTAAAAACATTTTAAGGTCAATATTATTAGCCCCCTTAAGCACGACCTATTTTCGATTGTCTAAAAAACAAATCACCATTATACAATGACTTGCCTAATTACCCTAACCTGCCTAATTAAGCTTTATAATTGCACTAAGCTGAATACTAGTGAAACGGAGGCCAGCTAGCGAAGTGCTGTGCAGGTAAACCTCCCTCCTCTGATCTCTAAAGGTGCTCCAGCAACAGATGTTAGAGGCCATGGTCTTTAGCCTTCTTGTTAGAGCAACCGACTCCCTTACAAAGAATCGCCGCTTGGATCCCAGCTCAGAACGGGATGAGTGCAGTAGGACTGGTAGGTTACATGTGGGGGCTCGTCCGGGATGGGAGTGAGGTTTATGCCGAGTTCAAACTGCATGTATTTTGCCCTGATTTTGATTTGCTGTCAGGTTTTGAGAAATCGCTGACAAAGGCCTGAAATCACAGGCAAATCGGTGCTCGTGCACAGGAGTAACAATCACACAATGTGAACTATCAAAGACACAATCTGGGAGAATCACAGATGAGTCGCCAACACCCGTGAGATATTTGGCATGCTAAATATCTGGACCTGTCGGTAATTGTGTTATTGAAAATAACATCAGTGATTACCTACAGCCAATGAGCGAGCAGCATCCACTTGTATGGGTGTCTGTAGGCCAGCAGGCAAGGCCGGAGCAAGCTGAACTGCCGCTCTAGGCAAAGGACGATCATGCTGCCCTCAACCCAAAACTGAAAACGGTAATGGTCGCAGACATAACTAAAGACACAGGGGGTGAGGGAGGTGTCGCGGACATAACTGAGGACGCGGGTGTTGAGGGTGGTGTTGCGGACGCCGCCCTCTCTATTCTGCCGCTTCAGGCAGTCGCCTAGGTCGCCTCTATGGACGCACCGGCCCTGCCAGCAGGAGGATGAGGGAGAAGTTAAAAGCGCTTATTTTCAGTTCATTTGGACCCAAGAAATGGTGGAAAAAAATAGTGGAAATTTGGCAGGAGCACTCGTGTTTGTTTGACAAGTCATTTGAGCAATACCACAACCAGGTCGAAAAAGAAAAAGTTTGAGAGAAATTAATTGCTAGTTCTCTTTAACAGCCGGGTGAACAAAATAAGTACTTTTTTACCCCACTAAAGGCTTCTTTCTCATGAAGTTAATAACAAAAGATATAATACATGACCTTGTGTTGTTTAAATGTCACTTTTCAAGTGTGTTTGGTTGTAAGAGACGTAGATTGTGGACTGAAACAAAATTGTTGGCGATTCTTCCAATTGTAAAGTCATCCAGTGTGAAACCCCTTATCGCCGAACCATCCTAGAGTGTGAACACCAGCACCGTCAGAATGCTACCCCAGATAGTCATGCAGTGTGAAAACATTTGTGACATGACTACTTTTAAAATTGTGCAGTCTGAACTCTGCATTAGGGGGATGAGAGTAACGGAGGCCAGCTAGCAAAGTGCTATGCAGGTAAACCTCACTCCTCTGACCTCTAAAGATGCTCTAGCAATCGACGCAAGAGGCAGTGTTTTTTTTTCCTTCTTGGTAGAGCAACTGACTCTCATATAAAGAATGGCTGGTTTAATCTCAGCTCAGAATGGGATGAGTGCAGTAGGACAAGTGGGTTACATACGGGGACTTGTTCGGGATGGTGAAGTTTAGGGTAGTGAGTGTAACGGAGGCCAGCTAGTGAAGTGCTATGCAGGTAAACCTCACTCCTCTGACCTCTGAAGTTGCTCTAATGACAGATGCTAGATGCCATGGTCTTTAGCCTCCTTGTTAGAGCAACTGGCTCATGCAAAGAATCGCCGGCTCGATCCCAGCTCAGAACGGGATGGGTGTAGGACCGTTGGGGGCTCGTCCAGTGTGGGAATGAGGTTTAGGGGAGTAAGTGTAGTGGAGGCCAGCTAGCGAAGTGCTATACTGGTAAACCTCACTCCTCTGACCTCTAAAGGAGCTCTACCGACAGAAGCAAGAGGCCATGGTTTTTAGCCTCCTTGTTAGAGCGACCGACCCATACAAAGAATCGTCGGTTCGATCCCAGCCTAGAGCGGGATGGGTGCAGTCGTACCGATTGGTTACCTGTGGGGGCTTGTCCGGGATGGGAGGGAGGTTTAGGGGGGTGAGTGTAACTGAAGCTAGCTAGTGGTGCTCTACCAACAGATGCAAGGAGCCATGGTCTTTAGCCTCCTTGTTAGAGCAACTGGCTCTCATACAAAGAATCGTTGGTTCGATCCCAGCTTAGAGCGGGATGAGTGCAGTAGTACCGATGGGTTACCTGTGGGGGCTCGTCCGGGATGGGAGAGAGGTTCAGGGGTGTTAGGGTAACGGAGACCAGCTAGTGATTTGCTATGGTGGTAAACCACACTCCTCTGACCTCTAAAGGTGATATTGAGACAGATGCTAGAGGCTATGGTCTTTAACCTTCTTTTTAGAGCAACTGACTTTGATACCAGCTCAGCACAGGATGGGTGCATTAGGACCAGTGGGTTACATGTGGGGGCTCATCTGGCATAGGAGTGAGGTTTAGGGGGGTGAGTGTAACCGAAGCTGGCTAGTGGTGCTCTACCAACTGATACTAGGGGCCATGGTCTTTAGCCTCCTTGTTAGAGAAACTTGCTCTCATACAAAGAATCAGTGGGGGCTCGTCCGGGATAGAAATGACCTCTAAAAGTGCTCTTGTGACAGAAGCTTGAGGCCATGGTCTTTAGCCTCCTTGTTAGAGCAACTGGCTCTCATACAAAGAATCGTTGGTTCGATCCCAGCTTAGAGCGGGATGAGTGGAGTAGTACCGATGGGTTACCTGTGGGGGCTCGTCCGGGATGGGAGGGAGGTTTAGGGGTGTTAGGGTAACGGAGACCAGCTAGTGATCTGCTATGGTGGTAAACCACACTCCTCTGACCTCTAAAGGTGTTATTGAGACAGATGCTACAGGCTATGGTCTTTAACCTTCTTGTTAGAGAAACTGACTTTGATACCAGCTCAGCAAAGGATAGGTGCAGTAGGACCAGTGGGTTACATGTGGGGGCTCATCCGGGATAGAAGTGAGGTTTAGGGGGGTGAGTGTAACTGAAGCTAGCTAGTGGTGCTCTACCAACAGATGCTAGGTTCCATGGTCTTTAGCCTCCTTGTTAGAGAAACTTGCTAACATACAAAAAATCACTGGGGGCTCGTCCGGGATAGGAATGACCTCTAAAAGTGCTCTTGTGACAGAAGCTAGAGGCCATGGTCTTTAGCCTCCTTGATAGAGCAACTTACTCCCATGTAAAGAATCACTGGTTCGATCCCAGCTCAGAACAGGATGGGTGCATTAGGACCGGTGGGTTGCACTAGCATTTTGAAAAATATCTAGTAAAACGTTATATCCTGAGATCATGGCAAAGATAAAAGAAATTAGATATTAAAACTATTATTATCATCTTTCCGTTAAACAGAAATTAGGGGGGAAATAAACAATATAAGTTAATATAATAATATAATAATTCAGAAGGGCTAATGATTCTGTCTTCAACTGTATATTCTGTAATCCAGATCATGCAGAACGGCCATATCCATGCAGACGGTTTAATGAACGTTATATTTTGGCTTGCGTGCATGGAATAAATTAGAAAATAACAATGGCATCGCTTGTAGAATTCCATCTTGCAGTAGTTTGCATGTATCTGGCAGTAAAAACACACACTGATCTAAAATCTGGGTATTTTTTGGCACGCTTCATTATTGATTAAAGACTTGAATAATGCAAAGCATCTCAGCAAAATGCTTGTTGAAGATGAGTTTACGGCATATTAAAGTGTGGGGAATTAGTCTATGTGTAATCATATTGTTTCCAAAGGTATCTTTTCTCCCTGCTTCATCACAGATTCATCATATTTGTCATTGTAAATGCTGAGCTGCACTTTTGACTTTTTATTCCTGATTTTCAAGATTTCTTTCCTTATTTTAAACATTCAAATGATCATTTTAATTCATCATTAGTCAACAGATGCTGCCGTATATGTTTCACATTTTTACAAAATAATTTCAATCAGTTATTGTAATGTTATTTTAATGCACATATATAGACGCAAATACCCAAGATAGACAGTCAAATTATTTATTATTTATTATCCAACTCTTAAAGAAACTACAAATCAGTCATTCGGAGACTTTCAGGTTTGCCAACATTACATTTTTGAGTGTGTATTTTGAGTATTAATTAAATTCTGTTTGTTTTTTTATTTTATAATTTGTGAAATTGTGTTTGGTGTGTTTTGATAGTAATAGTGTGAGTATGTTCAGATGAAAGAGTCTTAACACATTCGGTCATGATTGTATCCACAATTGACTTGTCTAGCTTTTTCTCTGGTCTGATTATTTTTGATATAAAAATCACTGCATGACATTTGATACTGCACTTGTGTTGCATAAATGGACTGTAATTGTTCTGATTTCACACTTTTGCATACAGTTTGGTTGTTTTTTTTTAGTAATCTGGTGGTTTTGTGTACTAGATTATTTCCATTTCCTTTCTGTTACATTTGAAATACGTTTACTGACAAAAAATAAAAAATAAAAAAAAACTGTTCGAGCAACATGTGCGTGCATGTTTCCTCAATGCGTGTGCACGTCAAAATTGGGAACGCGCGGTTGTCATAGCAACGTTTGATTCATCCAGGAAGCGACACCGCGCGTCTCCTTTTCGCCGGCATTTCAGCCGAAATGAAGATTTGAACGACATAAATACGCTTAATTTGAAGAAACATTCGTTTTAATTGTGTTAAACATTCATTAAGATGTAGTTCAACTGATGGAATGTTGTCACGAATTGATATGTGATGAAAGCTATATCGATTATGGAAATGAGGTATGTAAATGAGGTCAGGTATATTGTTTACGCTTTATGAAGTTACATTCTTCTAAAATAGCGGTGGGATTACTTAATCTACGTGAACTGACTTGCATAATTTTTGAGGTGAAATGTTTAAATACATTGTCAGCATTATAGTATTGATAATGACCTACAATTAAAATGAGTGGCCTTTCATTGTATCTGGCAATGTGAGGTTATTAATCTGGCAAAAATGTATATTTAACGTCTAATTTCAGCAAAGTTCTAAGTTTAATATTTTAAAGTTAATCACTATGAGATTATTCATTCATTTATTTTCCTTCTTAGTCCTTTCATTCATCTGTGGTCGCCACAGCGGAATGAACCGCCAATTTATCCAGCATTTGTTTTACAAAGCGGATGCCCTTCCAGCTGCAACCCAGTACTGGGAAACATTCATACACACTCATTCACACACACACACACACACACACACACACTACAGCCAATTAAGTTTTATTTCAATTCCCCTATAGCGCATGTGTTTGGACTGTGGGGGAAGCCAGAGCACCCGGAGGAAACCCACATACACACATATTGGTAAAGGTGTCTGCAATTTTTTGTGAAGCATCAAATCACTGGCATATTAACTGTCGAAACATGTTTACGACTGCACAAATGTATTATTGCTTAAAAAAAAAAAACGAAAAAAAAAACATTGTACTAAAGCGATCTAAAAAATTCATATCAATAAGTTTTCTCTTTGCACCACCAGGTGGCAGTCTTTGTACTTTCATTTCGAGGAGCCAGATTGCATACGTTTTATTAATATGTTTAACTTAATTTATTTTATTAATGACTATAACTTTATATATAGTTAAAAAATATGTACCATTTTCCCAAGTGTATATAACTACTACTGTAAGAAAATATCAGAATTCGGTACATACTTTCTGTATTATCTTTGCTTGAACTATATAGAGCCGATCTAATCCTGTTTATATGAATTGAACCTGCTCCCGACCAGGTTTGACCTAGCAGAACTGTTGCTATGACAACAACACTCGGATTAGCTTTGAAGAACGAAACAATCCTGGATCGTGTCAAATCGTCAATATCTAAATCCAGCTAACTGAGTAATCCACGTACGAAGAACGGACCCCAGGAGCTGACCAGGCCAAAACAATAAACAAAACAATCTTACTTAAAATCACCTCTAAATCCCCTATTTTCAGCAAAAGAAATGAAAATAAAATACACTCTTACCTAACTCCCTTGTCCACAAAAACAATCAATAAAAGAAGGTACAAAAGAAAATGGCGTCAAGCATTTTACTATTTACAAATATTTACAATCAGCGAACAAAACCAAAAAGGGCAAAACAGCAGAGTAGTCACTTATCAGACAGAGGTCAGATTTTCAATGTCAACAAAGCAAGAACTAAAGCACTGAATACTTTCACAGATTTTCCTCAGATACATAGACAAACTCCTATTCAACAAATCTGACTAACAGACACGCAATTTCTTTCTATGATTGTAAACACAAAATTTTTTTGAGTATTTTTACTGTCCTGTAAAATAAACTTAGAAAAAAAAAACTAGAAAAGGCCTCGCGATTTTATTCTTTTCATTTGAAGGTTGACATTTGCATGGAATTGCTCTAATAATTTTGCTCTCAACCGTTTATATGATCAATAACAGTTTAATCTTTGTCTGATATTCATCCAAACAGCATCATGTCCAGTAACCTGCCTCCCCTGCGAAATCTGCCCAGCTGGTCCAGGGTTCGAGATCTGGACCGTGTCAGATACCCCAGACTGCTCACCAGTGACTACATGGTCAGATCTCCTCCTGTGGGCATCAGGAGTGTGAAAGCAGCAGCAGCTGACCCCAGAACAGATGCACAGGAGGACACACGCGTGGCCTCTCTGCAGAAAGACATTGAGTTCCTCCTACAGCAGCATAAAGACACGCTGGAGAGACTGCATGCTGAGATCGACGGCCTGAAGCGGCTTAATAAAGGTGCATATTTACATTCTGCTTCAGCTTCTAGGTAAATTTCCCTCTGGAGGATATATCATATTTCATGGTCTGAACAGTGTGGACACATAATTCCATAGAAATTAAAGTACAAATGAAATCACAACTAACCATATGATTTTGTAAGCTCACACTGCTGGTTTTGTGGTGAATTCATCTGTGCATGTCACTAAGAAAAAAAATAGTTTGCTCTTGTAATCTAAAATTAAACCTGAAAATGCATTTCCTGATGCATTTAATTCTCTGATTAGGTCTGTGTAAGGTTTTGGGCGTGGCTAACATATTTAACCACGCCCCTCCAGCTGTCAGTTTGGACAACAAACAGAAATAGTGAGGATGTGGTGTCTGTTAGGTTGTAATAACTCTCTCCAAACCCTTTTCCTGATCTTTCTGAATGAAATGCCTACTTTACTACATCCAATCAGCCCTCAGTAGAAAAAAACAAGCCACGCCCACTGTTTTTTCCATGATATCCTAAGATCACATCTTACTTCTGTATGGAGCATGTGATAGGAATGGTGCTGATGATGTCACTTCCTCCAACATGATGTCAGAAGGGTCTTTTAACCCCTTCAGACCCTGCGTCCATTACAATGGACATCACATGACATCCCATTTTTCTGAAATTTGGAACATAATTCAGGTCTAAAGGGGAAGTTTGAGTTGAAACAAAAGTAAATGACAAAATTAATATACATATAATACTGACTTGGCTTTTTCGTTTCAATATAACTGGAGGAAGATGTTAAAATGTAATAATGCAAGTTTGTTTTTAAAAAAAATTGTGTCATGGGTATATTTAAAAGGGTTTTAATTACATTAAATGCAAAATATAAACGAGTTATAAATATCATTTAATTCAGTTGATTTCATGAGGACACAAATGAGGCACAAACATGCTCAAAGCTCTCATTTTTATAAAAATCTATGTTGTTTGAGCGTGTTTACCATTGTTCAGAGTCGCATTTTTAGTTCTTCTTTTCCAGAATTGCAGTATCGGTTGGTTATGAAACACGAGCATTCTCCAAAAGGTAGGATGCAATTTATAAACCTCATTTGTTATAATTACACTGCAAACATATTTGTGTAGTCTATCGTGTAGATTAAAAAAAAAAATCATTATTAAAATAGTATATATAGATATTATTAATGTTTTAATATTATTAAAAATGAGGTTTTATTTGTATGTTTTTTGCTTTCATTAAATGTTGTGTTAGTTTTATACATTTACAGTTGGTCAGAATTATTAGCCCCCTTTTGAATTTTTATTTTCTTTTTAAATATTTCCCAAATGATGTTTAACAGAGCAAGGACATTTTCAAAGTATGTCTGATAATTTCTTCTTCTGAAAAAAGTCTTATTTGTTTTATTTCGGCTAGAATTAAAGCAGGTTTAATGTTTTATGAACCATTTTAAGGACAAAATTAGTAGCCCCTTTTAGCAAATTTTTTTCTGACTGTCTTCAGAACAAACCATCGTTATACAACAACTTGCTTAATTACCCTAACCTGCCTAGTTAACCTAATTAGCCTAGTTAAGCCTTTAAATGTCACTTTAAGCTGAATACTAGTATCTTGAAAATATGTAGTCAAATATTATTTACTGTCATCATGGCAAAGATAAAATAAATCAGTTATTAGAAATGAGTTATTAAAACTATTATGATTAGAAACGTGCTGAAAAAATCTTCTCTCCGTTTAACAGATATTGGGAAAATAAATATACAAACAGGGGGGCTAATAATTCTGAATTCAACTGTATATATTTCAATACCTCTATATATTTTTTATTAATTTTAATTATAAGTTAATTATAATCATAAATTTAAATATAAGTTTTAATTTTTTTCGTACATCATTAAAAATGGAAAAAATAAACATGTCAGACAGAGACGGAAAATGTTAATACATTTGTTATACCCCTTTTTTTTAGAACACTTTATTTTGATGGTCTGTTTGAGTTATAGTAGACTGTCTGCTTAATATCTGTTGATACTGCTCCTTCAACAGACATTTATCTGTAAGAAATATAAGATACAAGAACCTTTCTTATACTAGATATAAGAAACTTAGCAAATACATGTCAACTTACACAACCGTAACCCCAACCTAATAGCCTACTTATAATCTAATGACAATTATTTGGCATGCAGGTGCAAAGTAACTTAAATTCAACAAACAGATCATCAAAATAAAGTGACCAAAAATATAATTTAATTAGAAAAATATGTTTTTAATAACAGTAAGTTTACTAAAAATATTGAGCAAGATTTTCTTGAAATTAAATGCTGAAAAGTCATGAAAATATAATGAATATTATAATATAATTAAGTCATTTTAGGGTGTTTTTTTTAAATGTATTTTTTAACATAGTAAATTATGTATTTATATTTCTGAATATATAGACTTATTTACATTTATATAATCTTCATTCACAAAAGAAACTATTCTAGAAGAATACTCAAATAACAAAGAAACGGTATACAATTATTTTTATGAGATACAACTGTATTTATGATTGACTACTTTACACATACACACATATATTTCGTAGAAAGTTAAAGTCAGAATTATTAACCCTCCTGAATTATTAGCCCCCCAGTAAATTTCTGTTTCTGTCAACACATTTCTAAACATATTAGTTTTAATAACTCATCTCTAATAACTGATTGTTTTTATCTTTGATGACAGCACAATATTTGACTAGATATTTTTAACATACTAGTGTTCAGCTTAAAGTGACATTTAAAGGGGGAACTAGGTTAATTAGGCAAGTTAGGGTAATTAGGCAAGTCATTATATAATGATGATTCGTTAAGTCAAGTCATTATATAATGTCAATCGTCAAGTCATTATATAATAATGGTTTGCAGTGTTGGGTGTAATGCATTACAAGTAATTCAAGTTACATAATAATATTACTTTTCCAAGCAACGAGTAAAGTAGTGCATAAAAATTAAGAAATAATGATTAAGTAAGTTTTTAAAAATGTAATGCAAGTTACTTTTTAGTTTAATTAATTGGTCTTTAAAAAAATACTTCGATAATGTTGAATCCTGCAATCAGAGAGAATTTTCTTCCCTGCAGAAACCAAGATGGCAGAGCCTCACATTTCTGTGATGGAAATATTAGCCCCTTTCATACAGTGATACCGACAAATATCCAGAAATTTTTCGAAACTACTTTTTTTATTACGTCAAAAAAAGCGCTGTTTACACAGGCGAGGATGTTACGGAATTTTTCTGGAAAAGACTGTTCACACATTTATTCCAAAATACCGGTAAATTCTAACATCATTAACCAGAAATGAGCTCTGAACGGCTGCGCTTGTATTTGTAAACATTTGACAACATTACAACTCTGTATTGTGAACAACTTCCATGAAAATTTAGAGGAATGTTCACATGTCGAGATGTACATGATGTGTGTGTACTGAGCTCACAGGCTCCTTCACGGGCACACGCGACGCGCCAAGCAATTGAAGGAAGCAGAGCTTGAAGTTAAACAAACAACAGCTTATCATAAGCATCTTATCGATAATTATTTACACAGTTGGCATTAAGAGGGAACATATAAACATGATCTGACTAACATCCAGCAGCTAAATGTGTCTGGAAAAATATTCAAAGGCTTTTATTTTCAAGCATCTGACTGTTCTGATTGGCTAAAGTCGACGTCTCACGTCAGCACGTTCTAGACGTGCACGCGCTTATTACGGTAATCTTCCTTCTGCGTTCACACAGCGCAGCATTCCGGCAAATTACCAGTAATGTTACAACTTCTCTTTCCGAAAAATAGCCAATTTACCGGCTATTTTCATACGGGAATTTACCGGTATTTTCAAAAAGGGCCTGTTCACACATACAGACTTTCTGGAAAATTAAGGTCTGTATGTGTGAAAGGGGCTATTGTCATTATTCTCAACGCATAGAAGAGAAGGGGATTATTGTCTCAATGCTTATTTTACTAATAAAACAAAAAGTACAAAAGCATCAAACACATTGCTTTAAACTTTCATTAATCTGTATTTATGGCATGTATAGCTCTAGGGTCAGGAAGTTCTCAGAAGATAACATTATCCTACATTATTAGTTTTTGATGCGTGGTTTTTTTTTTCTAAGATAAATGAAGGTTATACTGTGTGTCGTTAATTGCAGAGATCCTCTATTAAAAAAGGAGAAAAAAACCCTACAAGTTCTGAAAGAGATCAAGCCAGGTAATAAAAACCCACATAGCAAAATTTCTCTGGCCCAGCTCTGGCCCACACAATCAGGTTTTGCTTGGCCCACATGCCCCAGTGAATTACGGTACATGACTGGACCAAATCTGGCTACCAGACAAGGGCCAAACACGGACCATATCTGGGCCAAGTCTCAGCCAAGTTAATAACTCATAACTGGGCCTGAACTGGGCCAGATAGGTTGGTGTGTCACGATTGCAATGAAATTGATAAACCCATGGAGTGATGCGCTTCAGGCACACTATGGGCACGCTTTTTCTCAAAGTGACCTGATTGGTAGAATTTTTTTTCTTTACTCAAAAATGATTTTAGTGTATTTTAAATGTGGGTCAAGACTGACCAAACTCACATGGCCCACTTTCAAATTTTTAAATCTGGGCCAAATACTACGTTTTTCATCTGGCCCAAATCTTGTGTGCCGCCTTAAAGACGGTGCCACCTCTGCCAAACTCGGGCCATGTTTGGCCCACATGCTGTATGCCAGTGCCGGATGAATGCCTGCTGTGCCAGCATTATGCCAAATCTGGGCCAGAATTCTTTGCTACTAGGGAAGTAACTCAAAAATAACTGTGCATTACTTACCATTAAAAATAACTAAGTAACGCAACTAGTTACTTTTTTGGGGAGTAACTCAATATTGTAATGCATTACTTTTTAAAAGTAACTTTCCTCAACTCTGATGTTTTGATTTGTAGACAATGGAAAAAAAAATCTTGATTAGGGCAAATAATACTGACCTTAAAATAGTTTTCAAAAATTAAAAACTGATTTTATTCTAGCTGAAATAAAACAAACATGACTTTCTCCAGAAAAAAAATCTCAGACATACTGTGAAACATACCTTGTTCTGTTACACATCAATTAGACTTAGACTTAGAAAACTTTATTGATCCCGCAGGAAATTGCTTACGTAATGACTGCCATAACACACAAACACAGAAACACAAAAACACAAGACAGAATAAATAAATTAAATAAGTGAAATAAGTCACATAAATCCAACCAATCTATAGAAGGAAACAGCCACAATACATAAATACACAAACTATTATATAAGATATTACACATAAAAGAATCAGTGGTAACTAATACTAAGTCATATATCAAGTAATGAAAATAATATTGACCAAAACCAATAACATTGCACATAAAACAATTGCACATAAAATATTTCAAGTAATAAAGTGATACAACACTCATTTAAAAAACAATGATACTGCACTAAAAATATTTAACACCTAAAAAAAACGTACAAATATTGCACCTAATAGACTATTGCACACCATAAAACATAATGCACAAACTTCCACACACTAAAACCCGTAATAAGTAAATTTAATTGGGAAATATTTGAAAAAAAGAAGAAAAAAAAATATCACAGGAGGGCGAATAATTTTGACCAACTGTATATAATCCCCACAGGCTCCATAGGGACCAACAGTGATTCCTCAAAATCCAGCAGAGACGGATCAGCAGAGAGGGTTTCACAATGCAGATTCATCAGGTGCAAATCTCTAACCCTTTACTTGCTGCAGCATATCTGATTATCTGACCTCATTTAACCAAGTAAACCCACTTCAGTTCAGCAGAGTCAGGACAGGGCGCCGTCACATCACTCCTGCCGCTCCAGATCTCCTGCAGTTCGTCCCAGAATCCCCGAAATCCAACGCTGAAGGAGTGTGAGCTGATCATCCGAGAGCTCTATCAGGCCAACAGCTCACAGCATCAAGAGGTCAGAAGAGCTTCATCCAGGGTTCCCACACTTCTTAAATGTACTTGAATTTCAGTCATATGGATTCAAGGTCTGGAAAGTACACAGGTCTTGAATGCTTGAATTAAGGTGCTTGAATTAAATTTGAAATTAAATTAGTTTATGGTGTTATTTTAACAATTGTACTGTGCGGCTGTCAAAAACAGAATGAAAAAAAGAGATGTTTAATTTAAAAAGGCTAAAATTAAATCTTGTACAAGAACTATGACAAATTATGCACATTTTATCAATGTTCCAGAAGCCATGTTTAAATATTACCAATATGTTACCATGTATGAATTCAACAAATTTTAATCAAAGTTCTTTAAACAGTCTAATTTTTCGAAAATTACACGTTTAAAACATCATCATCACTCTGATATCCATTCATTCATTTTCCTTTAGTCTCAGCGGAATGAACCACCAACTATTCCGGCATATGTTTTACACAGAGGATGCCCTTCCAGCCGCAACCCAATACTGGGAAACACCCATACATTCTCACATTCACACATACACTACGGCTAATTTGGTTTAACCAATTCACCTATAGCGCATGTGTTTGGACTGTGGGGGAAACCGGAGCACCCAGAGGAAACCCACACCAACACTGGGAGAAGATGCAAACAGAAATGCCAGCTGATCCTTCCGGGAATCGAACCAGCAACCTTTTTGCTGTGAGGCAACAGTGCTAATCACTAAGCCACTGTACTACCCCATCACTCTGATATTTTTAATGTCAACATTAAGTGCAGGTGAAATGTTAAATACAGTAAGGACTATCATGGGTCTATACATAAGCTGTGGGTCTGAATCACAAAGGTGTTTGAAAATAATGGTGGTTTAAAAAGATCTTGAATCTGCTATTCATGAAAGAGAGGGAACCCTGTTCATTAGGCATACTAATCATTCATGCTGTATTCATACCCGAATCTCATGTTTACTTTCTCAGCTGCTGCGGGTCAAGACGCTCCTAAGGAACATTGCATCTACAAATAAAGCATCGGCTGAAGTCTCTCTCACACGAGCCTGCCAATGTGACAATAACAGGTGCATCTGCTAAGAGTTATATATAACAAAATGATACATACAGTTGAAGAAAAAATTATGTCTTCCTGTGAATGTTGTTTTCTTTTTTTAAATATTTCTCAAATTATCAACAGAGAAAGGAAATGTTCACAGTATTCCCAATAATATTAAAAAATACATTTGGAGGTCATTATTATTAGCCCCCTTAAGCTATATATTTAATTTTTCGATTGTCTACAGAACAAACATGTTATACAATGACTTGCCTAATTATCGTAACTTCCCTAATTAACCTAGTTAAGCATTTAAATGTCACTTTAAGCTGAATACTAGTTATATATATATATATATATATATATATATATATATATATATATATATATATATATATATATATATATATATATATATATATTATGTAGTTATTTTTCAATTAAACAATATACCTTCACCTATATTTTTAAACGTGCCAGTAAATGCATTTTATTTTATAAAAGTGTTTTAAAAGTGTTTCTGTTGTCTTTGCCATGATTTTACTAGTTATTTTGCAGGATACTAATATTCAGCGTAAAGTGTAATTTAAAGGTCTAACTAGGTTAATAAGTCAAGTTAGGTTATTTAGGCAAGCCAAAAAAGGTCGGACTGTCAAATCACGTGGTTTCACAACTCCTGTCACTTTGCTTCTAAAACATCCCCTGGTGTGACTTGGCACTGTGTGCGGGATGGGAAGGCTACCTCATTTGAATCGTAATGCACTCCACTTGAGTCCAGTGTCCGGGGTTAGCCCTGTGAGTGTCTCTGAGTATCTTAAATAGTCAGTGGCTGTTTCTCAATATACGTTCTTGAGCCATCTTGCGTCCTTGTGTTGTCATGTAACGTCATCATATCAGTTGCAAAACTCAAGAACGGAGGATGTGTGAAAGAACCTGGATGAGTTCTAGATAGAAGATGCGTTGAATGCAGAGTACTCACTCTAGAAACCTCAGAAGTCATTGCGGCTGAATAAAGGAGGTTGTAAATGCAGCATTTTATTTATTATCAAAGTTGAGAGATATAACTTATTTATCTCTGGAGTTTCCCACTTGACTGGTTTAAATCTTATCTCTCTGGCCGCACTCAGTTCATTCAACTCAAATCATTCACTTCTCAGCATTTTACTGTTTCTTCGGGTGTTCCCCAGGGCTCAATCCTGGGGCCCCTACTTTTTATCATCTATCTCCTTCCACTCTGTAATATTCTCCGTAAATATAACATACAGTTTCACTGCTATGTGGATGACACCCAGCTCTATGTCTCTGGCGAACCCTTTACTTGTATACCACCTACATTCCTTACAGTCTGCTTAGCAGAAATCAAGTCCTGGCTCTCTCTTAACTTCCTCAAACTAAAGTTCAAAAACTGAGGTTTTGCTTGTGGGTACCAAATCAACACTCTCCAAAACTGACAGCTTTTCTCTCTCAATTGACGACTGTTCCATTTATCCTTCTAAACAGGTTAAGAGTCTGGGTGTGATCCTTGATAGCACCCTATCCTTTGATTCTCACATCAATAACATCACCCGTTCTGCTTACTTCCACCTAATTTTATTCGCACTATTGCTGTGTATATTTTATTATTTCTCTTGTTATTTTATTGCTCTTGTTTATTGTACGGTGTCCTTGAGTTGCTAGAAAGGCGACTTTAAACAAAATGTATTGTTATTTATTATTATTATTATTTAATAGACGGTGGGAGGAAACTAATAAAGGCATAAACACATTAAGGGTGTTTATTTGCTAAAATTTGTTTTGAATTTGTACTAAATCTGTTTTATTTGTATCGTTCAAAGTATATTTGTTAGGGTTTTGTGCATGTTATATACAGTTGAAGTCAGAATTATTAGCCCCCCTGTTTATTTTTTTCCCCAATTTCTGTTTAACAGAGAGCAGATTTTTCTCGCCACATTTCTAAACATAATATTTTTGATAACTCATTTATAAAAACTGATTTATTTTATCTTTGCCATGATGACAGTAAATAATATTTGACTTGATATTTTTTAAGACACTTCAATACAGCTTAAAGTGACATTTAAAGGCTTAACTAGGTTAATTAGGTTAACTAGGCAAGTTAGGGTAAATAGGCAAGTCCCTAAAATGTTTTTTAAAAAATTTAAAGCTGCTTTAGTTCTAGCCGAAATAAAACAAATAAGACTTTCTCCAGATAAAAAAAAATATTATCAGACATACTGTGAAAATTTCCTGAATCTGTTAAACCATTTGGGAAATATTTAAAAAGGAAAAAAAAAATTAAAAGGGGGGCTAATAATTCTGACTTCAACTGTATATATTGAAAAGGGGGACAACAATATGAGGAATGCTGTAATGTTTAAATAATATTCTGTTAAAATGTGTGAAGGTCATGTGACCATCAGGAAGAACATTTCATTTCTGACGGAATGTGTTTTGTGTTCTCGCTGAGTTTGTTCTTTTGAGGTAACCTGGCAAGAACGCTCTCCACGAGAACACGAGTCCATTCTCTGCGTTCTCGGAATTGAGAAACAGCTAATTTAATGTGGAATAGATGAACGCTGATGTACAATAGCTGGGTAATCTGTGTAATCAGAGTAATCAGTGCAAAGAATCTTGGGAATTGGAGTTCGGGTGACTGGCAGAGGTAATGCAAGGAGTCCCCTTTATCCTAATAAACACAAAAAACTAAACAAAAATAAACAAAAAAAAAAATCATTGTCCAAAGATGTTATTTTGGTAGCACTTTAGTTTACTTAATAATTCACACCATTTACTGGCTGCCTATTATAAAGATATGACCTGTATACTAGCACTTATAAAGTATGATCTTATTTTACATACCTCAACCCAACTACTACCTCACTAACTATTATTAATAATCAGCTAATAAGTCGTGTATTGAGCTAAAAGTCTTAGTCAATGGATTGTTAATAGCATGAATTGTGCATTAAAATAAGCGTGACCATTATATTTAATTACTTTGCAAAATATTTGGTTTACAACATGCATTTCTTTTTGTGGATATTACTTTGAGCTCATTTATCACATAACTGTTTGGCTATTGTGAAAGCCTCTGTCAAATCATTTGCAAATTTAAACATTAAGATTTTATTTTAGGGCTGAAGTTTTCAAGCATTTTCCAAAACTACCTCTCAAACCACTGCCAACGAAACAGTAGGTTGATTTTAAGTTTATATCTTTCTCTATTAGTATATTTTTATATTACAATAGTTGTTTATTTGTCCCCAGGCTCCCAAGTCAAGTCAGTAAAGGAGCAACTGTGATTCTTCCAGCCATCAAACGCAATTTAAGCAGCAGCACGATGTCCGAGCGCCAGAGGAGAGCGCAGGACGGACACAGAATGAGACTCCGGAGAACCGTCAACTCCTAAAACTGATCATAATACAGAGGAACGTGAGATGACTTTCCATCATGCTGACTTATTTTTACCTCATGAACACACTCACTTTTACATCAATCTCTCTATTAAGGACACACATGTATTTTCTACTCTAAGCCAAATATCAAAAAGACTTTTACTGACTAAAATGCTGAATTTCCATGACCTATAATGAATAGAACTTTAAAGTCTCAGATCATCAAAGTAATTTAAATATTAGTCAAAGATAACACAAGTGAATACATTATGCAGTTTTTAAATGAAGGGTTTTGATATGAAGGGAAAACAAACTCCAAAACTATATAGCCCTGTGTGAAACACTGTCTGCCTCTTTAAACCAAACAACTTGTTTGGCCTACCTTACAGCAACAACTGCAATCAAGTGTTTTTGATAACTTGAAATGAGTCTATTACAGCAATATGGAGGAATTTTGGCCTGCTCATCTTTGCAGAATTGTAATTCAGCAAAATTTTCGAGTAACTTACTGTTACTTTAACATTTGTCTTGTCAGTACTCGTCAGAGTATTTTCCCAAAAGTCAAGATGTTTTCTGGGAAAACTGAGATGATCTTGTTCTTGTTGCTCAGCATTGGTTTTCATCTTGGAAAAAATTCGCTCAGTCTCTATCTTATGGTGGAGCCATGAACACTCACCTTAATTGATTCAAGTGAGGCCTGAAGTTCTTTGGATGTTGTTTTAGGGTCTTTTGTGACCTTTTGGATAAGTTGTCGCTGCACTTTTAGGGTAATTTTGGTCAGCTGGCCACTCCTGGGAAGATTCTCTAATATTCCATGTTTTTGCTATTTGTAGATAATGGCTCTCGCTGGGGTTTGATGCAGTCCAAAAGCTTTAGAAATGACTTTATAACCCCTTTCAGACTGGCAGATCTCAATTTTTTTCAGCATGATGTCTAACTTTTGAGGATCTTTTGGTCTACTTCACTTTGTCAGGCAGGTCCTGTTTAAGTGATTTCTTGATTGTGAACAGTTGTGGCAGTAAGCCGGATTGAGTGTGGTTATGGAATTAAACTTATTATTATTAAACCTTAAACCTAATAATTAAAGTTATTAGGTTTAAGGGGCAAACACTTTTTCACACAGGGCAATGTGGTTTTGGATTTTGTTTTCCCTTAATAATAAAAACCTTCGTTTAAAAAATGAATGATGTATTTCTTTGTGTTATCATTTACTAATATTTAAATTAGTTTGATAATCTGAAACATTACAAACATCACAAAGTGTGACAAACATGCAAAAAATAAGAAACCAGTGAGGGGACTAATATATATATATTATATATATTTATATACAGTTGAAGTCAGAATTATTAGCACCCCTGAATTATTAGTCCCCTGTTTATTTTTCCCCAATTTCTTAACAATTTTAATAACTCATTTCTAATAACTGATTTATTTTATCTTTGCCATGATGACAGTAAATAATATTTTACTAGATCTTTTTCAAGACACTTCTATACAGCTTAACATGACATTTAAAGGCTTAACTAGGTTAATTAGGTGAACTAGGCAGGTTAGGGTAATTAGGCAAGTAATTGTATAACGATGGTTTGTTCTGTAGACTATTTAAAAAAATACAGCTTAAAGGGGCTAATAATTTTGACCTTAAAATGGTGTTTAAAAAATAAAAAATTGCTTTTATTCTAGCCAAAATAAAACAAATAAGACTTTCTCCAGAATAATAAATATTTTCAGACATACTGTGAAAATTACCTTGCTCTGTTAAACGCCACTTGGGAAATATATTAAAAAAAATAATAATAATTTAAAGGGGGCTGATAATTCTGACTTAAATTGTGTGTCTGTGTGTGTCTGTGTGTGTGTGTGTATACATACATACATACACACAATTATAAATATATAGCTAATATATTTGACATTTATGTAAAACATGTAAAATATATGAAAAAATATATGAAAGCAGACATTTTTGGAGCATTTGGAAATATGGAAAATATGTTTCATATACAGTATGACATGTATTTTATATACGTGAAACCCACATATGGACCACATGTATGTTATGAAGGTAATTTACAAATATTGCATATATGGGGCAGTTCATTCTGCTGTGGTGACCACTGATAATCAGGTAAAGAGCCTAAAGTCAGTGAGTGAGTGGGTATAAATGGGTGACTGCATTTGGTTGCCAGTTGTAAAGTGAAAAAAAAAAATGGCATTAATGGCAAACATAGCCTAAATGTAACAGTAGGTAAAACATGTGAAATACGTGATAAAAACACACTACAGAAAAAAAAGACATTCGGATAAATGGTAAGTCAAATTTTAAATGACAAACAAACACACCCTGATAATCTATTGGACAAAAAAAGTCCATGACTGCAATAGATTCCATGAAAATCCAGGAATTCCAGGACATGTATGAACTGGTGTGTATTTTTCCTCCACCTGAGGAATGAGTGAACTTCTGTCTGCTCTTCTAATGAACTATAAGAATCTTTCCAGAGACGCAGCCAAATGTCAGAGCTAAGCTGTCTGTCCTTCCACCACAGACCCACAAAACACTATAACTTTGTATGAAAATAATAAATCTATACCTCTATTTGATGATAAACATCAATCTTTGACTCTCCTTGAAATCATCAGCAGATCTGAACTGAAATTATTATGCAAATCAACATTTCTCCAACAACCTAAGACTCTATTTGCTGTTAAATCTGTATCTTATTTAAAATAAAAGCAGATGGCTACATTTATTGGTGTGTTTTTAGTGTTCTTGAGGCGTTTAAATCAAAGGTCGGAGAGTTTGCTCTATTCCTGGACTTTATTTTTCCTCATAGGCTCAGAGTGTTGGATGCTTTAGTGTAATCTGGCCGTTGAGAAGGTTTTATAGTGTGTCCTTTAGGATCTCTATCTGACAGCTACAACTACCCATTGGATCAGTGCCGGATCCCTGCAGACACCACACCGCATTACTGTATTTAAGAGCATTATTGAGTAATGGGTTTTAGAGGGCACTATCTCATTCACTTCAACCCTCAGATGCTCAGCATGCCTCAAACATCCAACACGCTGCACTAATTCAATTTACGCAATAACAGCGCTTTAACACATTTTTTGGGCACTTTTCAAGGTTACACTTTACTAAACACTGTGCTAATGTATTTACTAACATGAACAAACAACAAACACTTCACTTATTACAGTATTTATTCATCTTTGGTAAAGTTAGTTAATGAAAATACAGTTCATTGTTAGTTCATCAGTGGATTAACTAATGTTATTACATGGCTGTCTGGAATACTCCCTTCTGATTGGTCAGTCTTGACATTCCATGCTTTGAAATTCCCAGATAACAACTGCTGAATAACGCAGGCTCATCTGGGAACTTTGAAACACCTTGACTGTCAGTAAATACGTTCATATCCATGTTCTTAAATCCATATTCATATGTAGGGGTGTCAAAATTAATTGTTTCTTCGGTGCACCGCGATGCAGACGCTGACATTAAGGTATCGGTTCAGTAATAATCATAACCGGGTATTATGTAATGACGTCATTTATCTCCTATGCGCTCTGTCGCGAGGGAGGTGAGTGCGAGTATTTACAACACTCAGCCAACTCAGGGCCGGCCCGTGGCATAGGCAAATGCTAAGGGCGCTGTATATCCAGGGGGGCGGCAGAAAGGAGCGCGCTTCAGTTGGTTTTGTTTTCGATATTCCTGACACACATTCAGTTATAGACAGCAATAACTCAAAAACCGCTTACCCTAAAAAGATCTAAAGTGTGTTTCCTACAAAAAGACAAAGCTGGTTATGTTTCACAGCTGTTTTTCTTTTTTTCGCTCGACATTACGAGCACTGCTCCGTTTAAGCCCTCGCAATATGTGTTTAGCCTGGAGAGCTCGCGCTGAGTAAGGGACCGTCGGAAAAGTGCTTTTTTTTTCGTTTTTCTGCTCCGCTCAGCGTGAGCTCTCCCTATTGCGAGGGCTTAAGTGTGTGTGTGTGTGTGTGTGTGTGTATGTGTGTGTGTTTGTTTCTTTGGTGCTGTCTTTGTTTGTGTTTGTGTTTGAATGAGAGACAGTGTGGTGCTGTGTGTCTCTGTGTTTATACAGACAGCTTGTTATAGCCTCCCCCCTAAAATATAACACTGTGTGTGGAAAGCATCGTCAATGCACCGAGATATCGAATTGAACCGAATCGAAGGCATGATAATCGTAACCGAACCGAACCGTGAGACCAGTATAGGTTCACACCTCTAATCATATGCATCTGCTTGTCTGTCATGCTGTGGTTTTTGATTGGCGCCATCTTGTGTATGAAAGATATGTAGGTCAGTATATGATTTATTCGGCCAGTTTAGTTTCTGTCACCTTTCTGTGTTTGATTGTTTTGTGCCATCTTGTGATTGAATAATATGTAGGTCAGTATATGATTCATTCAGCCAGTTTTGTTTCTGTCAGCTTTGCCTTTTTGACTGTTTGGCGCCAATTTGTGTCTGAATAATGCGCAGGTTAGTGTATACTCCCATCAGCTGTTTTAGTTTCTATAAGAATTGCAATTAATTAAATAATTAATAAACTATTACAGGTGTCACAGTGGTAGTGCTGTCATAGGAAGAAGGTCGCTGGTTCGAGCCTCGGCCGGGTCAGTTGGCGTTTCTGTGTGGAGTTTGCATGTTCTCCCTGCATTCGCATGGGTTTTCCCTGGGTGCTCCAGTTTCCCCCACAGTCCCACATTGGGTCGGCTAAAATTGTCTGTAGTGTATGAGTGTGACTAAGTGTTTGTGCTTGTCTCCCAGAGATGGGCTGCGGCTGGGAGGGCATCCGCTGTGTAAAACGTGCTGGACAAGTTGGCGGTTCATTCTGCTGTGGCGACCCTGGATCAATAAATGGCTAAGCCGAAAAGAAAATGAATAAATAAATGAACTATTACAGCATAGCTATATGATTCATTCAGCCAGTTTTGTTTCTGTCATCTTTGCATGTTTGACTGTTTGGTGCCATCTTGTGACTGAATAATATGTAGGTCAGTATGTGCTTTATTCAGCTAGTTTCATTTCTGTCAGCTTTTGAGTTTTTGACTGTTTGGTGCCATCTTGTGACTGAATAATGCGCAAGTTAGTGTATACTCCATCAGCTGTTTTCATTACTGTCAGATTAGATTTAACTATTACAGCTCAGAACAATGTTTTGTGTATAATTTTTCCATTTTGTGGCTAGTAGCCGTGTAATAAGCATAATCAAGTACATCCAGGATGGTTGTTATCTCAGAATAAAGCCTTCAGTCTTATACAACAGTGCTCCACTTCGCATCGGGCTGCTGATAAACCTGTCAGGCTTTATTCTGTGGTAACAAACTTCTGACTGTACTTTATCCCTAATTTATCGCACCGCTGTCTGGAATACTCGATTCTGATTGGTTAGTTGCAATATTCCATGCTATGTTATTCCCAGATAACAACTGCTAAGTAACTCAGGCTCATATGGGGACTTTGATCACCTTGACTGTCAGTGAATACGTTCATTTCCATATTCTTACATCCAAATTTTTATGTATCTGCTTGTCTTTCATGCTGCAGTTTGTGCTGGATAAGTTGGCGGTTCATTTCGCTGTGGCGACCCCGGATCAATAAAGGGACTAAGCCGAATAGAAAATGAATGAATGAATATATGCTTTATTCAGTCAGTATCGTTTTCTGTCAGCTTTGTGTGTTTGACTGTTTAGTGCTATCTTGTGAATGAATAATATATAGGTCAGCATATAGGTCAGCAATATATAGGTCAGTATTTAATGAGCCAGTTTAATTTCTGTCAGCTTTGTGCTTTTGACTCTTTGGCGCCATCTTTAAATCTGTCTGTCTGTCATTCTACTGTTTTATCGCTCTATCATTCTATCGTTCCATCCATCCATCCATCCATCGTTGTTTGTTCTATCACTCTATCTATCACTCTATCACTCTATTACTCAATCTATCTATCTATCTATCTATCTATCTATCTATCTATCTATCTATCTATCTATCTATCTATCTATCTATCTATCTATCTATCTATCTATCTATCTATCTATCTATCTATCTATCTATCTATCACTCTATTACTCTATCTATCTATCTATCTATCTATCTATCTATCTATCTATCTATCTATCTATCTATCTATCTATCTATCTATCTATCTATCTATCTATCTTGTCTGTCTGTCATTCTACTGTTTTATCACTCTATCATTCTATCGTTCCATCCATCCATCCATCCATCCATCCATCCATCCATCCATCCATCCATCCATCCATCCATCGTTGTTCTATCTATCTATCTATCTATCTATCTATCTATCTATCTATCTATCTATCTATCTATCTATCTATCTATCTATCTATCTATCTATCTATCTATCTATCTATCTATCTATCTATCTATCTATCTATCTATCTATCTATCTTGTCTGTCTGTCATTCTACTGTTTTATCACTCTATCATTCTATCGTTCCATCCATCCATCCATCCATCCATCCATCCATCCATCCATCCATCCATCCATCCATCCATCCATCCATCCATCCATCCATCCATCGTTGTTTGTTCTATCACTCTATCTATCACTCTATCTATCACTCTTTCTATCACTCTATCTATCTATCTATCTATCTATCTATCTATCTATCTATCTATCTATCTATCTATCTATCTATCTATCTATCTATCTATCTATCTATCTATCTATCTATCTATCTATCTATCTATCTATCTGTCTGTCTGTCTGTCTGTCTGTCATTCAACTTTTATCGCTCTATCATTCTATCGTTCCATCCATCCATCCATCCATCCATCCATCCATCCATCCATCCATCCATCCATCCATCCATCCTTTGTTGTATTGTTTTATCTACCTACCTACCTACCTTCCTACCAGTCTGTCTGTCTATCTCTATATGCAGCTTCAAATTGTATTATAATTTAACTAAATGACTTGCTTTATTATAATTTCCATTTTAGCACAATCACACACAGTTTATAATGTTTATTTTTTAAGTTAAATATATTTTTATAAACATGGATAGCATTCTACTGTGCTATGAAGAATTTGATTGCACATTGAAACAAGTTTTTTTTTAAAACTGTGCACAAGACAATATATAAATAAATGAAATTAATTAAATTAAAGATAAACGTCTGTGGAGACGACGGGTCAGACTGGTCAGACAGATTGTTTAGGGAGGTAAATGCAGGTAAAAGGCGAAGCATCAACGGGTGTTGACCAAATGACTTAAGGTAATAAGATAATTGAGCAAGGTATTATTAGATAAGCAATGAAGAAAGGAAAAGGGTTGCAGACAAAGTATCTTATCTTCTCAGAATCGTAGCTTACAGAGTGACGTCTCGCACACCACTTCAGTATAAAAGAGCATCAGGATCCACCCGCTGTGTTCAGATTTCTGTCACTTTATCTCTCTGTGTGTTTTAAAGCTACAGTAAATCAGTCATGTTGGCATCACGGGCTCTCCTCGCCAAGCAGGCCGCAGCCATGCTGGTGCGTCAACCTGCCTGCCTGATGCATCACGGGGGAGACTGGGGCAACTGGGGCAACACCAACATCGCTGTGGTAAGAGATCAGTACTTACATGTAGTCGGGATTATGTAATCAGATTACAAATAATAAGTTCTTGTGATAACTTACTACTGTTTTACACTTGTAATCACACTAGTTACTGTTTATGCATGATATTTATATTTTATGTCATATTATATTTTAATGTTTTTCAATTTAATATAATATAATCATTTTAATATAATGTTTTTTTTGTTTTTTTTCGAGTGTTAGGCAACGATTAATCACAATTAATCGCATTGAAAATAAAAGTTAGCTTTTGACGTAATATATGTGTGTGTAGTGTGTATATTTATTATGCATATATAAATACACACATGCATGCATATATTAAAAAAAATGTTTGCCTGATGCATCATCGGGGAGACTGGGGTAACACCAACATCGCTGTGGTAAGATGTCAGTATTTGGATTGCATGTAGTCTGGATTATGTTGTCAGAATACAAATATGAAGTACTTGTTATTAGTTACTAGTTTTTCCTATTTAACACTTGTAATAACACTAGATACTTTTATGGATAATATTTACATTTAATGTTATATTTAATATAATGTTTTTTCTATTTAATATATAATATAATTTAATATAATCATTTTAATACAATGTTTTTGTATTTTTTCGAGTGCTAGGCAACGATTAATCACGATTAATCGCATTCAAAATAAAATAAGTTAGTTTTTTGTTGTAATATATGAGTGTGTACTGTGTATATTTGTTATGCATATATAAATACACACATGCATGCATATATTAGAGAAAATGTCAGCCGGATGCATCATGGGGGAGACTGGGGAAACACTAACATCGCTGTGGTAAGATATCAGTATTCAGATTACATGTAGCCTGGAATTATGTATTCAGATTACAAATATCAATACTTGTTATTACTTACTAGTTTTTACTATTTAACACTTGTAATCACACTAGATACTTTTATGGATAATATTTACATTTTATGTTATATTTAATATAATGCTTCTATTTAATGTATAATATAATATAATATAATATAATATAATATAATATAATATAATATAATATAATATAATAATTTTAAGATAATGTTTTAGTATATTTTCGAGTGCTAGGCAACGGTTAATTATGATTAATCGAATTTAAAATAAAAGTTATCATGCATATATTAAACAAAATGAGTGCCTGGTGCATCATGGGAGAGATGTTTACATGTAGTGTGGATTATGTAGTCAGATTACAAATATAAAGTGCTACTTTTAACACTTCTTATCACACTAGTTACTTGTTTATGGATCATGTTATGCACATTTAATGTTATATTTTGATATAATGTTAGATATTTTAATCGATTATTACGATTTATCACATTTAAAATAAAAGCTTGTTTTTGAAATAATATACGTGTGTACTATATATATATATATATATATATATATATATATATATATATATATATATATATATATATATATATATATAAAGATTCAATTGAATTTGAATTTTATTTTCTTTTTTAAATATTTCCCAAATGATGTCTAACAGATTAAGGAAATTTTCACAGTATGTCTGATAATATTTTTCCTTCTGGAGAAAGTCTGATTTGTGTTATTTTGGCAAGAAAAAAAGCAGTTTTAAATTTTTTAAACACCATTTTAAGGTCAATATTATTTGCCCCTTTAAGCTATATTTTACGATAGTCTACAGAACAAGCCATCATTATACGATAACTTGCCTGATTACCCTAACCTGCCTAGTTAACCCAATTAACCTAGTTAAGCCTTTAAAAGTCACTTTAAGTTGTATAGAATAGTTTTGAATAAGATCTTGTCAAAATTAAACAGCGGGGCTTATAATTCAGGCGGGCTAATAATTCTGACTTTAAATGTGTGTGTGTGTGTGTGTGTGTGTGTGTGTGTGTGTGTGTGTGTGTATATATATATATATATATATATATATATATATATATATATATATATATATATATATATATATATATATATATAAAGTAAATGTTAAAATTATAGTACATATTTTTAAATCATAAGATATGAATGTTAATGCAGTGTTACTATCATAAAATATTAACAGCGAGGTAAAAGTGAGTGTTTTAAATTATCAACTGTCCATGATTGCTATTTAAAACACAGTTCCTGTTGCTGATAGAGTTTAAATTATTTTTCTTTGTATCTGTCAAAATAGTACATAATATCCTACTTTCAATATATCAATAGATGTGACATCAACTAAGAGTTAGCAGAAAAGTTACCTATAAAGTATTCAGAATACATTACCATAAATGTGTCAAAAGACATTAATCAGATGATTTTATGATCATTTGTAATCAGTGACTGACTGCAATCCATAAGTAATCTACCCAGCTCTGTACATGACACCAGAGACATGTATAATTGCATTAGTTGTTGATTAAATCTGGTGGTGAATGTCTGTCTGCGCTGTTGAAGGTTTTCTCTGGTTGTGGTTGGTGGGACGGGACTGACATCCATGAGGCTGCATAGTAAGTACAGAATACTGCAGTGTGCACTTCAAAACATCGCTCCAATATAAAGTGTTAGACCAGAGTTCTGCTATAGTGACCAATCAGTATCGAGTATTCTAGAGAGCTGTGACACTGCTGTGTTTTTTCCAGCACCATGTACCACTTGAGCCGTAATGGAGCCCGTTTTCAGATCTTTGCTCCAAACCAGCAGCAAATGCATGTCATGGATCACATGAAGATGCAGCCATCTTCCAGCGACAACAGGTAGAGAATCAGACCAAATTATTAGTGTTTTTTCAACACATTTCTAAACATAATAGTTTTAATAACTCATTTCTAATAACAGATTTATTTTATCTTCGCCATGATGGCAGTAAATAATATTATACTAGACATTTTTCAAGATACTAGTATTCAGCTTAAAGTGACATTTAAAGGCTTAACTAGGTTAATTAGGTGAACTAGGCAAGTTATTGGACAACAGTGTTTTGTTCATTAGCCAATCAAAAAAGGGGGCTAATAATTTTGACCCTAAAAATGACTGAAAGTTTCCTTGCTTTGTTAAACAGGACTTGGGAAATATTTTCTAAACAATCAATATTAACTTCAACTAAATTTACATTAAATGCACAGCATGTTTATTAAAATGCAGGGGAATATCGTAACTTTTTTGATCATTATGGTAGCATTTATAGTAATAATTTGAATCATAATACAGTGAAAACATCAGAATTAATTGTTGTTATTTGTTTAGTAGTGCGTGCAGGACATTGTAGTTTGTTTATTTAAGAAAGCACAGCAAAACAAAGTAAATGGTGGTATATAATGCCCAAACATTAATCCAGTGTCACCACTGGCTTGCATGGTTCAGGATCGGTAGAGCTACGCATAGATGAATTTGCTCTTCAGTGTTTGGACATAGATGACTTTAAATCACACTGAACTGAGCTAAACTGAACTGAACTTAAACACTAAAAATTGAACAACCCTGATCCAGTTACTATGACCATTTATGTGAAGCTGCTTTGACACAATCTACATTGTAAAAGCGCTATACAAATAAAGCTGAACTGGAAAAAAAGCTGAATTGAAAAAAAAAAAATCAAGAAGTGCAGTAGTGGTTTTAGATTTGATGACTCTGGTTTACAGCAGACAACAAAGTATTGTAAATATTGTCATACTGCACTCAATACAGTATATATATATATATATATATATATATATATATATATATATATATATATATATATATATATATATATATATATATATATATATACAGTTGAAGCCAGAACTATTAGCCTCCCCTTTTGTTTTTTTTTCCTTTTTTAAATATTTCCCAAATGATTTCCAATTGACAGAGCAAGGAAATTTTCACAGTATGTCTGATAATATTTTTTCTTCTGGAGAAAGTCTTATTTGTTTTATTTTGGCTAGAATAAAAGCAGTTTTGAATTTTTTAAAAACTATTTTTGGGACAAAATTTTTAGCCCCTTTAAGCAAATGTTTTTTTTTCTCGATAGTCTACAGAACAAACCATGGTTATACAATAACTTGCCTAATTACCCTAACCTGCCTAGTTCACCTTATTAACCCAGTTAAGCCGTTAAATGTCACTTTAAGCTGTATAGAAGTGTCTTGAAAAATATCTAGTAAAATATTATTTACTGTCATCATGGCAAAGATAAAATGAATCAGTTATTATAAATAGGTTTTTAAAACTATTATGCCTAGAAATGTGCTGAAACAATCTTCCCTCCATTAAACAGAAATTGGGGAAAAAAATAAACAGGGGCGCTAATAAGTCAGGGGGGGCTAATAATTCTGACTTCAACTGTATCAAAGCAGTTGATGCATGTCCAAAAGTATCTGCAATTTGTTGGAAGGAATGAGAAACTGCTACTATAATGTGCACAAATGACTAATTGTTTTAAGAAATGCATTAACTGTTGTGCAGATGTAAATAGTGTTGTGAGAAATGCGTCACGGTGGCTCAGTGGTTAGCAATGTCTTCTCACAGCAAGTCCAAACACATGCAATATAGGGGAATTAAATGAACTAATTTGGCTGTAGTTTATGTGTGTGTGAATGATTGTATATGGATGTTTCCCAGTACTGGGTTGCAGCTGGAAGGGCATCCGCTGTGTAAAACGTGCTGGATAAGATGGTGGTTCATTACACTGTGGCAACCCATGATGTATAAAGAGACTGAGCCAAAGGATGAATGAATATTTTTGATAATGAATGATTTATCTAAATACTCATCTAAATTAATTGTTGTAATTTTTTGAATCAGTGTTAAATCAGAGCACAATTGCAAAAAATCCTATTATTCTGGTGGTTATCTGTTTTTGGAAATTAATTTTTAATTTGTGAACTTAAACCATGTTATGCTACATGAGTATATATATATATATATATATATATATATATATATATATATATATATATATATATATATATATATATATATATATATATATATTGGGGAAAAAGCCCAAAAAAATACAATGTATGGATCAAAATAAATGATTTTGATGAGAAAGTCATGTTCCATGAAGATATTTGTACATTACCTACTGTAAATATATCTTAACACAGTTTATGATTAGTATATGCATTGCTCAGCACTTCACGTAGACAACTTTAAAGTCGATTCTCTTACTATTTAGATATTTTTTGAACCCTCATATTCATTCATTTTCCTTTGGCTTACTTACATATTCATCAGGTGTCTCCACTTAGGAATGAACCGCCAACTATTACGGCATATGTTTTATGCAGCGGCTGCCCTTCCAGCTGCAACCCAGAACTAGGAAACACCCATACACTCCCATTTACACGAACAATTTAGCTTACCCAATTTACCTAAAGCGGAGCACCCGGAGGAAACCCACGCCAACACGAGGAGAACATGCAAACACCACACAGAAATACTACTAACCTAGCCGGGACTTGAACCAGCGACGGTGCTAACCACTGAGCCACCGTGCCGCCCACCCTCATATTCCAGATTTTCAAATGGGTGTATCACAGCCAACTATTATCCTGTCCTAGCAAACCATACATCAATAGAAAGCTTGTTTATGCAGCTCTCGAACTTTGGGATGGATGGATGAATGACCGGACGGATGGATGGACGGATAGATAGATGGATGGATGGATGGATGGATGATAGATGGATGGATAGAAAGTTGGATGGATGGATAGATAGTTGGATGGATGAATGGATAGATGGATAATTGGATGGATGGATGGATGAATGGATAGATGGATAATTGGATGGATGGATGGATGAATGGATAGATGGATAATTGGATGGATGGATGGATGAATGGACGGACGGATGGATGAATGGACGGACGGATGGATGGATGGATAGTTGGATGGATGAATAGTTAGATGGATGGATGGATGGATGGATGAATAGTTAGATGGATGGATGGATGGATAGTTGGATGGATGGATGGATGGATAATTGAATGGATGGATGGATGGATGGATGGATGGATGAATGACCGGACGGATGGATGGATGGATAGATAGATAGATAGATGGATGGATGGATGGATGGATGGATGATACATGGATGGATAGAAAGTTGGATGGATGGATAGATAGTTGGATGGATGAATGGATAGATGGATAATTGGATGGATGGATGGATGAATGGATAGATGGATAATTGGATGGATGGATGGATGGATAAATGGATGGATGTATAGATAGATGGATAGTTGGATGGACGGACGGATGGATGGATGGATAGTTGGATGGATGAATAGTTAGATGGATGGATAGTTGGATGGATGAATAGTTAGATGGATGGATAGTTGGATGGATAGATGGATGGATAGTTGGTTGGTTGGATAGATAGATGGATGGATGGATGGATGGATGGATGATAGATGGATGGATAGAAAGTTGAATGGATAGATAGATAGATGGATGGATGGATGGATGGATGGATGGATGGATGAATGACCGGACGGATGGATGGATGGATAGATGGATGGATGGATGGATGATAGATGGATGGATAGAAAGTTGGATGGATGGATAGATAGATAGATAGATAGATAGATAGATAGATGGATGGATGGATGGATGGATGGATAAATGAATGGATTGATGGATGAATAAATGGATGGATGGATCTCACTCAGCATGGTTTGTTTTCTGCAGGAACATGATGATGGAGTCTGCGCGATTCAGCCACGGTCAGGGAATGATGCAGATGAACGATCTGTCCAAACTGGACGCTAACAGTTTTGATGCCGTCATCTTTCCTGGAGGCCACGGCATCGTCAAAAACATGTAAGAGAGAGATAGAGAGGCTATAGTCGGACAAACTTAACTTTAACATACATTAACAATCCATTAACTAAGACTTTAAGCGCAATAAACTACTAATCATCTGCTTATTAATAGTTGGGGTTTAGGTATTGGGTAGGATTAGTGATGTAGAATAAGATCATACTTTATAAGTGCTAATAAACATTTAATTTCTTAATATTATGCAGGTAATAAGTGTTACCTTTTATTCTAATACAAATATCTGGTTCACACTTTATTTTGGGGTTCAACTCTCGCTATTAACAAACCATTAACTATGATTTTTGCTTCAATAAACTCCTTATTTATTGCTTAATTATAGTATTAATGTAGTCGTTGGCTTTGGGTATGAGATAGGATTAGAGAATATGTGCTTGATTAGTATAATGAACAGCCAATATCTTAATGACATGCATGCTAATAAGCAACTAGTTGATATGGAGAATTGGTCCCTATACTGACATGTTACTGATATTTGTTATTGACTATAATATTAATCTGGAGTGCATCTTGACATTGGTAAACTTTGCTGAAGCATCAGATTACACTGTTAGTCAGCCCAGATCTCTCTCTATTCCTGGAGTGAAAATCCTCTTATCAACTTTCACTATTAGCAAACAAATGATTAAGTCTGGGCGGAAATACAGGTGATGGATGAGGCTAATCTTTATGTCTGAACTCGGTGCCTTTTCAGATTGCCTAATTACACTTCAGCACTTTTGACCTGACCGCAGAACGTTTATTTAATGGTTCAAGACCTCTGTGTGCATTGCTTTTGTTTGGTCATGCTTTATTTTAAAGGGGAACTATTGTGCAAGATTACTTTTATAAGGGGTTTAAACACAATCGTGTGGCAGCAGTGTGTGAATATAATTAGCTTATAATAGTAAAAAGGTATTACTTCAATTTTTTGTATTGACCCTTGATAAAAACAGTCTGCCGGGACAAACCATTTTTCTATTGTACGTGTCAATAGAAAGTCAATCAAAGGAGGAAAGCCCCACCCACTAGTGACCATAACTCCCACATAGGACAGGGCTATTCAATTAGTTTGTCATGGGGGCCGGTTCATAAAAAGCATCCCAAACGAAGGGCCGGAGATATATAACTTGCCATATGAGTGATGACACTACAGCATAAGAGCCCATATGCTGTATATTTTTGCTCCTTAAGACAGCCACGTTGGCTTTTTCTACATTAAAATGTTAATATATTGTATTTTGAAACTACATAATATCAGTACATTGTACAATAGACTTTTTATTTTTATTTTACAAACATTCATATGTTGTATTTCAGAGCACAACAAAAGCAGTGCATTGCTGAAGTAGGCTTATTCTACATTCAGACACGGGATGCAAAAACTATAGATTTTGGTTGTACGATTATATTGTCTGAAGAATAATCATGCTTTTACTGTTATCACGTCTAATGTAAATTCAAGCTTTATATTAGGTAAGTAGCTATTTAGATTAACTGTTGTTGCCATCTGCATTCAAGCGTTGCTCCACTGGCGCCAGCATCATTTATTCTTACATTAGAAATAACAAACTTGCAAGCGGAAAAGACGTGATATGGGAACGGCCGCTGCTGTAGTTAATCCTGTGGGCATGCGTATTAGCCTCGGTGTACTTCAAACTTAAAACTAGCGCACAGGCAACTTGGCATTTTGCATCGGTTTCATTTCGTTCCGTGCAACAGAAATGCAACTTAGAGAAGACTTTACGATTAATAAACTGACGAATTAAAGCGCAGTTAATAGTGAAATCAGCTAATTGTTGCATCCCTATTAACGATATCAGTGCATTTAACAATTAGCCTTTTCTACAACCATGTTTTCGGAATAGCCCTGGCATAGGACATTAGTCTTGCTTTCGAATCTGCCACTATGCTGACCTGCAGACATTTGTAGCTCCGCCCTCTTTTGAAAAGAGCACAATCTCATTTGAATTTAAAGCGACAGTCACCAAAATGGCACAGTTAGAATCAAAGCCTAAAAGGGTCAGCTTCAGAGAGTTAGAAAACATTATTTGAGTGTATTTTGAGCTGAAACTTCACACACACACTCTAGGAACACCAGAGACTTGTTTTACATCTTGTAAAAATGGGCATAAAAGGTCTCCTTTAATGTATAATTCACACTATTAACTAAAACGATTAGCTCAATGAACAATAAATTAGCTACTTATAGGACTGTACCACATAGCAAACAACTATAATTATCGCAATAATGAAATATACAACAATAGCCATATCGCAGAAAGGTAAGAAAAATCTAATTCATTTATTGTAGCAAGTTGATTTGTATAGTGCTTTCCACAATAATTATCATTATTGTTATAATTATCACATTACTACATAAGTCAAAATTAGAAGTTAAGGAGTTGTATATAGATAGGGCAGTATATAAACATGGTTGTAACATATTTATATAGTTGAAGTCAAAATTATTAGCCCCCCTGAATCATTAGCCCCCCTGTTTATTTTTTTCCCCAATTTCTGTTCAACGGAGAGCAGATTTTTCAACACATTTCTAAACATAATAGTTTTTATAACTCATTTCTAATAACTGATTTATTTGATCTTTGCCATGATGACAGTAAATAATATTTGACTACATATTTTTCAAGACACTTCCATACAGCTTAAAGTGACATTTAAAGGCTTAACTAGGTTAATTAGGTTAATAATATTGACCTTAAAATGGTGTTTAAAAAATTAAAAAACTGCTTTTGTTGTATAATTTGTTGTATAAATTAAAACGAACAAGACTTTCTCAAGAGAAAAAAATTATCAGACATACTATGGAAATTTTATTAGTCTGTTAAACATAATTTAGAAAATATATATTTAAAAAAAAATCAAAGGGAGGCTACTGTATATATATATATATATCCCTCGCTCCTTTTTTAATAGTTAGTAGGGTAGTAGTTGGGTTTAGGTCTTGGGTTAATTAGGGATATAGTTTTTAGTATGAACTGTTACTTAAAGAAAAAAAAAAAGAAAAAAAAAAAAAATATATATATATATATATATATATATATATATATATATATATATATATATATATATATATATATATAATGCTAAAAGGATATTGTTTTTGGTATTTGATATGAACTAAATCAAACAATTGGTATTAGCTACAGTTTTAAAGTCAATTTCTTTGTATTTCTGTTGTCTTTTCCAGGTCCACCTTCAGCAAAGATGGCAAAGACTGCAAGTTGAATAATGACGTGGAAAGAGTTCTGAAGGACTTCCACCGCGCTCGCAAACCCATTGGGTATACATGACTTTATAATATTACATTTCTAAACATATAAGATGAATTTAATTATTGTATTATATAGTACTTATCCTCCAGCCCTATGCCTGTGGGTTGGAAAAGTACTTGAAGACAGAGATTAGACTGACTGAGAGACAGACAATAGAACAAACAATAGATAAACAGATGGACAGATAGAATTTGTTTTGGTCAAATTAATAAAAGATTCATAGTTAAAATAGAAACCCCGCCCCCTACTCAATATTTCATTATAGTTGGAAATACTGTGACTGATCTCCATTATTCTTGTGCTTCTCAACTGACCTGCTCCTGCTTTTCTCTGTGTGTTTCAGGTTGTCCAGCATGGCTCCTCTCCTAGCGTGTCGAGTTCTGCCCAGTCTGGAGGTCACGATGGGTTATGAGCGGGACGAGAGCAGCCGCTGGGGCCGCTGGCCAAACACCAACATGGTGCAGGCGGTCAAGAGCATGGGGGCCCGTCACAACACCCGTGAACCTTACATATCCTTTCACTCAGACTCTGCACTATTAAACATAAAGCTTCCTGAAGGGAGTTTTCCATAGCAGCAATAACATAAAAAGCTTTTTTAATTTAAAGGTCCCATGAAATTAAAATAAAGCTTAATATGAGTATGTTAGACTTCAGGATATCTATATGCTATAGTGTGCTCCAAAAATCGTGAGTTGAGCTTGAGCTCATCCACTCTCACTGACAGAGCGATAATAAAAAATATAAGCATTGGCTGTTTTTCATAAAGCAGAAGTTGGGAGTTTCTCAAGTTTTCAAGGGCCAACGGAAGAATCAGCCAATCAGATAGCTTTATGCAAATACCCCAGCTTGGACAGTAGCCGACTGTGGACTAATTTCATTGGCTGACACTGCTATGACCCTCGCTTCAGCTCCATCTTCAGACACACCATCCATCAAGCCTTGACACTGGAGGGAACCCTGAGCTCGGAGATAAATGACCTAATAGATTACCGCCTGGTCAATGAGCATTAGGAGGGATACGAGAATTCCAAAAATGAAGTTTGGTAACAAAGTTTAGGCAGGATATTTATAGTAGTTTTAGAATGATCTGATATTTTAGCTAATGATTAGTGATAAGGATCAGCTGAGTAGTCGATCATATCACATGCTCCTCTTGAAATTTGTTTGTAAAACTTTACTTGTGGGCGACGCGGTGGCGCAGTAGGTAGTGCTGTCGCCTCACAGCACAGTCGCTGGTTCGAGCCTCGACTGGGTCAGTTGGCGTTTTTGTGTTGAGTTTGCATGTTCTCCCTGCATTCGCGTGGGTTTCCTCCGGGTGCTCCAATTTCCCCCACAGTCCAAAGACATGCGGTACAGGTGTATTGGGTAGGCTAAATTGTCCAAAGTGTATGAGTGTGAATGAGTGTGTGTGGATGTTTCCCAGAGATGGGTTTCGGCTGGAAGGGCATCCACTGTGTAAAAACGTGCTGGATAAGTTGGCGGTTCATTCTGCTGTGGCGACCCCAGATTAATAAAGGGACTAAGCCGACAAGAAAATGAATGAATGAATGAATGAACTTCACTTGTTGGTTTGAAATAAGATTATTTTAGTCACCCTACTGGCAGAACTTGTAAAACTCACTTAATGTTGAGGTATTATTTCGGAAAACAAACCAATATTTTTGACACTTTTTAACTATTGAATTTGACTTTACATATTTGCCGAAAAATTTAAACAGTTGAATATTCAAAACTTAGAAAAGAAGGTAACTCAGTGGTTAGCACTCACAGCAGGAAGGTCGCTGGTTCGAGTCTCGGCTGGGTCAGTTGGCATTTCTGTGTGGAGTTTGCATGTTCTCCCCGTGTTGGCGTGGGTTTCCTCTGGCTGATCCGGTTTCCCCCACAGTCCAAACACATGTGGTTTAGGTGAATTGAATAAAATTAATTCGCTGTAGTGTATGAGTGTGAATGAGTGTTTGTGTGTTTCCCAGTACCCCAGTAAAACACAGGAATAGTTGGAAAATAATGAATGAATTTAAAATGTAAATTGCCAATGTGTCTTTAAATGAAGCCAGCATCAGTGTATCTCTAAATGTGAAGAAAACCTGACTTTGTCCTTAACCTCTCGTCTCACGAAGCCTATGTGGACGAGAAAAACAAGGTGATCAGCACTCCGACCTTCATGTGGGAGACCGACTACCACTACCACTACATCTTTGACGGCATCGGGAACATGGTGAAGCACGTCATGCGCATGACCGCCAAATGAGTCTCACCAGAACACAAACACCTGAAGGCTTTCACACTTAACTTTAGGTTGACCAGAATCCACTGTGATGTGGGCGTACAGAGAGTAAATAAAGAAAAGCATGCAATGCAACTCCGCTTTAGTCCTGTGTGTGTGTGTGTGTGTGTGTGTGTGTTGTTGACGTGATGCTGCATTTTCACTCTCACACATGACAAAAATGAACAGCATTGTCCTCATTTAAAATATACAGTATATGATTCACCAAAGCCAAAGACAACAGTAGATATCTGAAAACATTTTAATCTTTACATTTTTCAGATTTAAAGATGGGGCGACACGGTGGCTCAGTGGTTAGCACTGTTGCCTCACAGCAAGAAGGTCGCTGTTTTGAGTTGGCCTTTCTGTGTGGAGTTTGCATGTTCTCCACGTGTTGGCATGGGTTTCCCCAACAGTCCAAACACAGGTAACACTTTACAATAAGGATCATTAGTTAATGCATTGACTAACATGAACTAATCATGAACAACACATGTACAGCATTTATTAATCATAATTGAACATTTACTAATGCATTATTAACATCCAAGTCCATGCTTGTTAGCATTAGTTAATGCACCATGAGTTAACATGAACTAACAATGAACAACTGTATTTTCATTAACTAACGTTAACTAATATGAATATATACTGTAGTAAATGTAATGTTCAATGCTTGTTCATGTTAGTAAATGCATTACTTTAACTAATGAACCTTATTGTTGAGTGTGACCCAAACACATGCGCTATAGGTGAATTGGATGAACTGAATTGTCCGTAGTTTATTTGTGTGAATGAGTGTGTATGGGTGTTTCCCAACACTGGGTTGGAGCTAGTAGGGCATCCGCTGTGTAAAACATATGCTGAATAAATTGGCGGTTCATTCCGCTGTGGAAATGAGCCCTAATAAATAAATAGACTTGGATATCACACTCTCATTTGAGGGTCACATCAATAATAATGCTGCATATTTCCACCAGCGTAACATCACTCGTCTCCATCCTTCTCTCACAACCAATAACACAGTAATTCTCATCCACGCATTAGTTACTTTACTTCTTGACTACTGTAATGCACTTTCTTCTAAATTTCTGCATAAACTCCAGCTGGTTCAGACCCATGCAGCTCATGTCATCTCTAGTCTCTATCTCATGAGCATGTCACACCACTCCTCTATCAGCTTCACTGGCTTCTGGTAAAGTTGAATATTACTTCTCACTTTCAAGGCACTTCATAATCTTGCTCCTCAATATCTCACAGAACTTCTCCATATTTACCCCCCTTCTCGCGCTCTTAGATCAGCCAACTCCTTCTCCCTGGTACCACCTCGCACTCGATGAAGCACAATGGGAGACAGATCTTTTAGCTCTTTGGCTCCTCGGCTATGGAACTTGCTTCCCTTATATCTAAGGAGCAGTAATAGTCTTCACACTGTTCAATCTCTTCTAAAGGTCCGTCTTTTTAAGCAGGCTTTCCTTGAACAAATTTTTTTATAAATATTTTTTTGGGTTTTCACCTTTAATAGACATGACAGTAGAGATTATTGACAGGAAAGCATGGGGAGCAGAGAGAGGGGAAAGATCGGCATAGAACCACGAGGTGGGAATCAAACTCGGGTCATCGTGAGCACTGGAGTGCATGTGTCAACACACTAACCACTACACCACTGGTGCCGACTCCTTTAACAATTTGTGTTCATACCTGCAGCTACTTACATGCATTCAGAATGCTTGTTTGGTCGTTTTTTATTAATTGTTTTAATTTGTTTTAGCATGGCTGTTGATCCTTATTGTAAGGCGACCTATGGTGTCTAGAAAGGCGCCATTTACAAATAAAATGATTTATTATTATTATTATGACTAAGCTGAAGCAAAATGAATGAATGAATGAATGAAAAAATAGCATCATATGAATATACAGTTATAGTCAGAATTATTAGCCCCCCCTAAATTATTCCACCCCCCTCCTGTTTATTTTTTCCACAATTTCTTTTTAATGGAGAGAAGATTTCATCAACACATTTCTAAGCATAATAGTTTTAATAACTCATTTCTAATAACTGATTTATTTTATCTTTGTCATGATGACAGTAAATAATATTTGACTAGATATTTTTCAAGACACTTCAATACAGCTTAAAGTGACATTTAAAGGCTTAACTAGGTTAATTAGGCAGGTTAGGATAATTAGGCAAGTTATTGTATAGCGATGGTTTGTTCTGTAGACTATAAAAAAATAGCTTAAAGGGGCTAATAATTTTGTCCCTAAAATGTTGTTTAAATTTATAACTGCTTTTATTCTAGCCGAAATAAAACAAAAACGACTTTCTCCAAAAGAAAAAAACATTATCAGACATACTGTGAAAATTTCCTTGCTCTGATAAACATCATTTGGGCAATATTTAAAAAAGAGAAAAAAAATTCAGAGGGGGCGAATAATTCAGACTTCAACTGTACGTGTCCACCACAGAAGATAAATCACTCTTTCACTATTTGTATATTATTTAGTGTTGTTTTTCTTCATTTTGCTCCACACCATATAACATATTTAAGAAAAAAAAAAAACAGTAAAAAACCAAAATGATAACAATAGTGACCCCTTATATTTTCTTACACATCAGAATACCTAAATAAAGTGTTCAGCATATATAAGTGCACCCCTCACAAATGTTTTGAATTCATATTTTAATAGGAAGCTATAAAATATTATATTTGTGCATACACATTAGTTTAGTCAGTACTGAAGCCAAATCTGGAGCTTATCTAACAAAATCACTTATGATAATGGTCCAAAAACTAGTACAGCCAAATTTATGTGTTACAGAAAAATATTAAATACAAATTTAAAAAAAAGAGAAAAAAACATGAAAAGGAAAAATAATTAAAAATGTAGTTGAAATTTTTTAGGTAGTAATTTTTTTTTTGTGCAATATTTAGCTTGAATTTAATTGCATTATATTTCAATTTCTAAATATGTTTGGTGACTAAAATGTTACAGGAATAAATATATTTTAATAAATCTGTTTTGTTTAAATGCACCAAAATACATTGACTAAATTCACTGAGAAATGGAGAAAAAACATTCATTTTCAAAATAGGGTGTACTCAATTATGCTGAGCACTGTATGTATATTTATTCCTCAAAAATTGTGTTTTACAAACAAACAACAGCATGTTATACTTCTACACTTCCCCAATATAGAAACAGTCGTCAAATAGTAAACAACTGAAGGATGATCTCTCGACATAACAGATCAGTGGAGCATTTTATTGTACAAATCATACAAAAACGAGGGACAACATTTATAAAAAACAAATATAAGAGCAGATATAAAACATCATCTTCTTTTAGTTTTACAAAACTGTAAATTCATTCTCAAAAAATGTCAAAAAACCTTTTAAACGTCCTACAATAATGTACAGCAGCATCTTAAATATAAGACAGATTCCTGTTTTCTCAAAACATTCATCAACAGTTGTACAAAATCTGAAAGAAGTCATCGAATTCAAACAAATATTTACAAGCTTAAGCTCAGATCGACAAAGAGCATTTCATGACGTCGAAATCCACCTGTGTCTTTGATTTATTTATTAGCCTTTTCATATATCCGCTGTAATGTCGTTCAGCTGAGTTCTTTAAAGTAGAGAAGATTCAGAGAGCAACACATGCTTTTGTTCAGGAACTTAATCATGAATGTAAAGAGTACAAGTACATTTCCAGGAGAGTTTGAGTGTTCGTTAAGGAGGTCTCAGGGTTGGCACTGATTTTTATGCTTTAAATTACCACATCATTTAGATCTTGACCAAAATGACACCGCTTTTAAGAGGAATTCAGCTTCGGACATGGTAATCAAACACACAACAGCAACACATTTACATGTTCTCATGTATAATAGTTGCAGAAATATGAACAGGGGTGGATTTAGTGATTTTGGGGCCCCAAGCAAGTCCCGCCATGAGGCTCAAAAGTCCTAAAATACACCTCTCTGTGCTTTCATTGATTTTATTACTATTATTATTTTGCTGCTTATTTCTTATATCATTCGATCTCCTTTTCTACATTTTATCTTAATGCAAAATAATAATAATAACATGTAAATCGGCTTAGGGTTGACAACGGTTTGTTTTCTTAAGATGAATTCACAGCTAAAAATAATGAATTATTTCCATGACTGAAGGTGGGGGACACATTTGAGACATTTCAAATTACAATTGTAGACCCTCACCGTACAAAATATGTTAAATATAATTTAGAGGTATCATTTATACTTCTAGGTATTTAAATGCGGGCCCTCAGATTTCCTGGAGCTCTAAGCAGCCGCTCACCTTGCTCATTGGTTAAATCCACCCCCGAATATGGACTTTCCTGGCTGCAGCGTCTGATTGTCGAAGCAGACTTTATGCTCTCCTGTTGTTTTGGTTCAGCTTATTGGAAAACGTTACACATTTTTGTCCATTATCCACAATGGAGGTCTATTCAATTTACAAAAGCAGTATAAAAACAATCATACTTCGAATTGTTTGTTTCTTCAATAAAACTGTTTCCTGTATGCTTATGCTTTAGTCTAGACAAACAGAAGTGCAATCTGGAACTGTTGACAACAGGTCAAAAGACAAAAATACAAAAGCTACATTTCACGTAATGTACATGTTTCAAGTACAGTCAGCAGGAACTGAACACACCTTTACAGATCTCTGCATTCAGCTTGCGGATGAAGATCCATCAAAGCTGGTCCTGGATATTGGAGTTTGGATCCTTTGCTTTCTCATGATCTGAACTTTCAGGGGTTGTGTTTAAATCTAACTCATCTTCTTCAATGGGATGTTCTGTTAAAATAAAGAAGGACTGTAATTAGTAGATAAACTGCATTTAACATTGGGTTTACATTAGATTTAACATGGGAATGACTATGGCATTGTATTCATTTCCCTTTGTTAAATGTACCGTGTACCAAACCATACCACTGAGTGCAAACAATCCATTAGTTGATTGTATGAATGACAAACATTATGTAGCTTAAAGTATTCAAGATATTCAAAGAGATTAAAGGGAGGTGATGGAATAAAGTACCAAGGTAAGAATCTCAGAGCAGTGCG